CTAGTGTTTATTATTATAAGGATAAGTCTGTTTGTTTGATACATATAATATATATATATATAGAAGATATGATAATAATTATTTATAATGTAGTCTATATTAGACGTTTAAAAAAAAAAACTGGAACCACCCCGCCCTTCCTCCAAAAAAGAAATGCTTCGGGCCAAACTTCGCAAAAAAATTGTTCAACCTTCTTTGTGGTATCCATGAGATCTCTAAAAAATTGGGGGCTATTTGAGATTTAAAAAATCAAACTGTAATCACTTACTTATATTTCATCACAATTGTTCTATGAACGGCTGAGATTTCAGTTCCAAAGCTCTCCTTGAGGTTCATGTATCTCGACTGGGGAAATATCATTGATATAAAACTTAAAAGTAATTAAAAGAAGAAACAAAAATAAATAAAAAGAAAAGCACAGAGATCAATTTCTATGTTTACGAAATTCCTTTTATGACGTCACAGTCTGTTTACAAAATTCCTATTGTGACGTCACAGTCTGAGTACCGCGCACTCTGCGTACCGCGCTGGTATGTTGCTGCTACGCGTAAAATGAGAGACGGGTGTTTTGGGTCAAGAAACTTTTATCATTCGACCCAGTTCTCGTATGGCATCAAAATGATGACGTCACACCACGCTAAGACAACGCATACGCGAAGCATGACGTGTGCGCGCTGTGATGCCCTATACGAGAACTGGGTCGAATGATAAAAGTTTCTTGACCCAAAACACCCGTCTCTCATTTTACGCGTAGCAGCAACATACCAGCGCGGTACGCAGACTGCGACGTCACAGTAGGACTTTTGTAAACATAGAAATTGATCTCGGTTTTGTGACGTCATACTACACTAGCATCGATATCCTTTGTTTCCCTTTACTTTTGAGGACGCAAATATTGAATATAGGGAATTAAATGAGGAAAATAAAAGACGTCCAATGAATTGAATAACTGTTACATGTAAATGTGGACGAAGAAGAATTCGACATCACCAAGTGTTCACCATAAAGTAATGTCGTTATATGTGTGATAATGATGGGTTTTAAAAAGACAAAACTACACCCCCTCCTATGTTTTAGCACTGGTACACAGCAACAGCATTCCTCCGTATTTTGCTACTCCAGTAAAACAGCTGTATATGGGTGGAGATTCATCCGTTGAGTGTTGTTTTTTGAAATGTCGCCATCTACGGTTCCTCTCAGCGTCTCCCGGTCTCAAGCTTGACTTGTTCTCCATCAGAGAAATGTTTGCACTCTACTTTTTACTCGGGGGCCATCTCAGCAAGTACAGTTAACAGCTAAATTATTCATAACCTTACCAAGCTTCGCATTTTTGTTTAGTATGTGAAAAATTGATGTGTTCAGATTTATGCTTCTTGAGAATGTGACATATGAAAGCTTACATCTACAAGTATACAACAAAGGCCATCATTTCAACAAGTCCATCTTTCATTTCGTCATTGTTACGAAAAAAACAACCCCTAAAAATCAAATATACAAGGGGTATGAATAATGTATTATGTTAACTGTATATATGAAAATATGTCATTAATACCCTGAGGCCAGAGTATACTAATTTGTTAGTGTAGCGTCTCTGCTTTACCCATAATTACTCAAGATATTTTACAAGGGTGACCGATCAAACACACCTTTTAAAAACTTATATATCACTTGAAAATTAGCTTCCTTTTAGCATAGTTCGTTCTGGTTTGATTGTTTTTTTTCTTTCTCCGACATAGATTTTTGTCAATTTTCATCCGTATCAAGGGAGGGTTGGCCTTTCCATCTCAGATACCACTATGAAATTTACAATCAAAATCATTTTAAAGACGAAATAGTTGATCGAGAATTGCTATTGCATCATCGGGAATCACTTGCAGCTAAAGAAAAAGGATAGAGTGCTAATAATACGCTCTAATTGAAAGGATGTTAGTGGGGTAGTAATCATATCCTCATTCAGATCTAGAATAATCTCCACAGGTTTTCGTTGAAACTTACATGGAATGCAAAAAAGGGGTATCAATGTAATTTACATTACAACCAGGGATCTACATCACTGGGTACCTCGATTAACTCTATTTATCCAATGTGATAGATTTTTTAAAAATGCAGTAGCGTATAGAACCTTGAGAATCACACTATTTGATTAAACTCAGATACAAAATATTGTACATTCTACATTTGAAGTCATGTTATATTTGATTATAACGTTTAACCATATGACGTGATAAGATCCGGGGTCCTTTCGTATCCTGTTTGCAATCCCAAACAGAGTACACTTGAGATTGTTCTTAGATATTTCTGACCCGATTTTTCCAGAAAAGCGTAGACAGCCAAAAAACATTTACCCGGATGTCTCAAAGTATATATTGAGAGGTTACATTTCCCCTTTTTTACCTCTCTGCTTTAAACAAATTATTAGTTCCTTTCTGATTTCTTATTATTCTCGGCCCTCTTTTCATCTTTTCGTTGTTCTTCGTCTCGTTGTTTTTTTCTGTTCGATTTTGTTTATCTTATTCAGTCACTTCGCGTTTTTAGATTACTTATTACAGCAAATGCTACATGAATATACAATTTGAGACTTCTACATGCAGTAGCTAGTGGGATAGGTGCTCCCTTATCGAATGACGGCAGAACAAATAGGGGAAGACGAAGAAGATGATGGTTGGGATGAAGAAGAAATATAGTGATAGAAAGAGGGTAAGAGAGAGAGAGAGAGAGAGAGAGAGAGAAAGAGTGAGAGGAAAGAATCTTTAACCGAATAGCTTTGTTCTATGGCATTTCCTGACTAATTAAAGTAGTGCATTTATGTTTGTTAAGGCTAAGCTTAGTTGACGATTTCTGCAAACGATATATCAATCGCCAATGATATGATTCGGTTTGCTAAAGACGAACTTCCTTATTTTCTTTGAAAAATTGGAAAAACACAAGAAAAAGAAATATAATGAAGAGAAATAAAAAAGATACCCCTCTGTACAAAGCCTCATGTCGCCAATCAGACTGCCTTACAAATAATCTGCATCCGTTTCACCCATTTCGACTTAGTCTCCGTGCGCATGCTCAGTATTAAAGTCACAAAATCATGCATATTGTGTTTGTATAGCAATGTGAGAAATGGCATGGATGATTATCTGTGTAACTAATTTATGTTACGAAACTATCTTGTTGAATTAGAACAATGCCAACAGTTATTCCAAGGGATTTGAATACAGATTGCACAGATACACAAGCACTTTAACTTTGAAGAATAATTAGGTAGGGTTTAGCCTACCTACATTTACTACCTGAATTTGAAAGACATCGTATTTAATGATTTTTTTTGTGCATGTTAAGAACTGACTATTTGGATCTTGCACAAGTCAAAGATTAATGAGAAGCCTACTAATATTAGACAATTTCTGGTCTTTAATGACGGGACTATCAACTTTTACAGATGATTATGAGTGAACCTTACCTGCACAATCTCTGCCTTTAAAGATGAATGAATGATTCAATCTGTCGATAAGAAACTATTGTAACAGCGGTAAGGTTTCTTGTGAGGAAGGAGAGTTTACAAGGAAAATCGCTCTGAGGTGAAATAACTGCGTGCTTGGTTGTAAAAGTCAGAAAACAGTTGGGAAATGCCAAATCTGAACTTTTGTACATGTTTTAATTGGGTATTTCCGCATGTGTAATCGTGTAAATCGTGTCGATGTCTATGTAACTAGCAACTGCAGTATATATTTTGTTCATGATTGCATGATATATAAGAAAAGGACAAATTTCCAATTTTTTTATTTTTTAGTATTCCTCACAATGAAAACTAATTCCTTATAGGACTTTGTGCATACTTGTTTAGTCGGTGTAATCCTATGATCCATATATCAATGCACTTGATTAACAAATTGAGTATTATTTGATTGTGTATTGTGAATATAATCCGCGACATGCAAGGGAAGCAGCTCGCCAAAACGAATATTTACCCTCAAAATATCACTCTTTGATAAATGACAAACCAGATATTACGCCCGTTTGTAATTTATAGCCATTACAGAGGTTAGTTCTACATGTGAGAAATCAGAACATGTGAATGTTCTCTTTTTCATACCTATGTGAAACAATTTCATTAGTAGCAATGTCAAGGTTTGCACACAAACTGCTCTTATATTTTAAATATAACGAGAAATACGGTGTAGTATAAAACAGTGTTTTTCAACGGTTCAACCTGGGTGTCGCAAGATATCTCTAGGGGTGCCGTGATAAAAATTTAGTTTAATCAAATAAATCCTTTGGAATAACGTTGATTTCGTGAAAAACAATTATCAGAAACTGCTAGAGTATGCAATTGTATGAGGAAAAAGCAGTTTAGAGATATCACAATGTCTTTCTTCCTCGATCGCTTCGATCGCTGGCAACATTTTTTGACAGCGAATATATATATATATATATATATATATATATATCTTTTATTTCGAAATAACATTTATTACCACGCTCGTAACTTTTAGAAACAGGATAAACCTGATCAACGAGATGCCCGAATATCCTCATATTCGTATATTGAGATCATGACCGAATACATGATTTTACATTCATCACTTTATATATTTTCTAGTGTGTTAAGTACAAAATAAATTTGTACCACTTTAATGTCTTTTTATTTTTGCTGGCTCGCTTCGCTCCCTCGCAAAATTTAGAAACAAATGTGCCAATGCGTGTGTACATGGCACTTGACGAGTGCCAGAGTGTTGCAAAATAAATATTCTGTAATGAATTTGGGATGGGGTTGACGCAGTGACTAACGAAAGGTTGAAAAACGCTGGTTTAAAACGTAGAAACAAATGTTGATGCCACGTGCTAGTGTAGTCCCATAAACCCATATTTGTGTACCTGTGCTTTTCACTTTTTGATTTCCAGTTTCAAGGAGTAACCCATCTCATCATGTTAAAACAACGATTAATAAGACAAACAGTGAATCTGATATTTTCATTTGTACCATGCACAAAATGATTTTATTAATAGCATTTTTTTTCAATTACAAATCATTGACAATGATAATGACAATTTTACATGCATCTTCTCCTCAAGAGTAAATCTGGATCCAATCTTTTTCAAAATGGGATCTTCTAATAAAAAAATATTCAACTACGAATCCTTATTGGTGATATTTACGTCGACAAAAAGAAATTGCAGGAATTAAATGAAAAGGGGATGAAAGTGGAAGATTGCGTGCTAAAATTATAACACTATAAAAACCCATCGTAGGAAACGTAAAATACACACAGTAACACTCAGATATTCGTACATTACTACACGTTTAAACCTTCACAGATCTTTATACAGGAATACAAACTACAATTACAGACAGATCCTTTGAACAATATGACTTTTTCGATCTTAAAGAAAACACCGAAGCATACAAAGTTTACAAAAAAAGGTAACACCGAAAAGGCGATTTCAGTTATTTTTCAAATTCTCTTGCATTAGAGTAGGCGCTCTAGGCAAAACGACTGTATAAACTGACAAATTAATTTACAATCTTAGATCTTTTCACACAAAAAATCCGACAGCGTGTTTAGTCATCATTAAACATTTCAAAATGGCAGTGCTTATATCTCATCTCACACACAAGCAGTCTTCTCAACTTCTTCCCTGGTTATCTCTCGTTTCCTCGATTAATTCAACATTTCTTCCAATATTTACATCCCATCACAAATCAAGTTTACATCTATCATGTAACAAGTAAATCTGATACCTGAACTGAAATATTTCACAATAAAATAAAAGATTTATTGAATACTATGTTGAGCTTTAAGAATAATCATAACGACTATACATAAAATCTTAAACGAATTAAATTATTGCAATATGTTTATACTCCAAACAACTTTCTGCACAATTCTATAGAATACTTACAACAACATAATAGAATAACAGCCTTTCATAATCCGTATTCTTCTTTTGAACTCATAAATAAATAAATATATCTGAAAATAAATACTTACAAGCGATCTTAATTTCTAATGTTAGAAGACATAACCAGAAAATAAGTTAGACAGCAAAGAAAATAATCTGTACAAAATAATTAATAGAATCACAAAGTTATTGAGTAAACTGTTTAAGCGAATAAGCTTTAGCTTGGCAAGTCCCGAGTACAAAATGATGATCGTTATCATATTAGATAATGCATTGATACATGGTGTATCTAGTGAATACTACAATGTGGAACTACGTGTATATTGAAATTTACTGGACGCAAAGAAAGCTCTTGCACCAGTTAATGTTGCATTTTGAAAGATGTGCCAACTACGCAACATTTGAATAATTAGAATAACAGTGTGTCATTATCACATTGAAAATTTGATTGTAGGCCTATGCGGAACGAAAGAACCATAAGGTTGCGTAGGCAGTGCATTGAAGATGAGTAATTTGTGACTCATGTTTTCCCGCCTAAATATAGACAGTGACATCCCTTTGCTCGGTAATATGATAAGAAAATAAAATCAGCTTCTTCACTTCGCAGATATGAACTACAGAGTGAGGCTACATGAACTGTACAAAACACATTCTAATTTCCATCACAGAGTTTGGTGTAGTTATTGTTTTTGTTTACCTCAACCATTCACTTTGTTGATTGTATTGCCAAAGTTTTGTTTGGTTATGAACTAACATGTAAATAAGATAATACTACTATATTGCACGCGAATATAAATACTTGTTATCGTTGACAAGAATGTAACGTGGAGGAAAACACATATATCATCATTTTTAAAAAGAGGCAGCATTAAATATCTACAATTCCATTTTCTAAAAAACGATATTTGTCCATACTCTTTTTCCATCAAACATTCATTCGAAATAATGACAAACTAAGAATACAAAAATGTTATACAAAAGAAAACCTGATTCATAACTTATTATGAAAACTCTCTTAATATTTTTTTTCTCGTTTTTCAAGATGAATACAATTAAGCCAATAGTTTTATTGTAAAAGAGACAAAATAGTAAAAAATGGAAGCATTGAATGAAAGTTTGAAACCACTTCAAAAGATATACATTTTAGAAAGTGAATAGCTTTGTTTTTCCTACTCGTTTCCTTTTCAAACGTTTTAAGGAAATATGGATCACATGACAGTCGGCAATAATGTCGGCATGTATGTCGAAAGCATTTTAGCATTAAATATATTTGAAAAAATTGCAGAGAATGTAAACTGTTCTACATTGTTCCATGACGTTTACTGTGCATTTTTCTACTAACTGTATTGTTCTAGTCTGAAATAAATTCATAGAAACAAATCTTGATATTTTTCGTTTTCTTTTACATTTTGAAATTTGAACGCACTGCTTGAGAGCTGTTAACATAATATTCGTATAAACTCGTATTTCGATTAGTATCTTTTCTTTCTCTTCATGGAATTAATTTTCATAAAGCCGAAATTTATTCAAGTTCTAGTAATAGCACACGGTTTAGAGTTGAATAAGGGTTCGGCGGGCTGACTCGGGACTGGACATATCACTACCACTGCTGCTGTTTTCTGATTTGATTGACATGGCTTCCCGTCCACACGATGACGATGATGAGCCGGACGAGGAGTGATTGGTGCCACCCATGACACCCTCAGACATGCCAGCGAAGTTGAAGAGTCGAGTGGGTGTGACGACCTCAGTGGTGGGTGTGTCCAGGCTAGCGACGGTATTAGCGTGGCAGGTGGTAGCGGTGGTACAGGAGGCTGTTGTAGTTGTCTCCTTGTTGACCTTGTTCTTACGGCACATAGCCTTGTGAGCCTCCAGAATGAACTCCAGTTGTTCTTTCTGCTGTTGGAGCTTGGAGATCTCTTGTTCCAAAGTGGAGTTCTTTTCTTCCCAGTCCTCCGTTTCCTGTTTTACAACAAATAGGAACATTATAATTAACCTCTTAGCATGCGTGAAAACACCTTTATAAAATGGTACTTCCTGGCTTTAGAATACATACGTTCACTCAAGACAAAAGAGGGACTCTTTTTCATAGATGTTCAATATCCACTTTTTCCCTTCAGCCCATTCTAAACGGCTTTTCCTTCTGCCGTTAAGAGTAGGATATCGAGAAGGATTTTTGAATTTAGAAGACAACTTTCAATATTCATTATAACTTCACTTAACTTAAATTTAAAACACAGACCAAATATTCATTCTTTCATTCGGGCATGTGGGTGGAACCCTCAAAAACTCAGATTACACTTGAATTGTTTACAAGCACATGTCATCCATGCGGAAAGTAGAATATGACAGCTACATTTGACTGATAGTTATAAGAACAATATAACTGTCACTGTTGTCATTTTGCGCAACAAACAATGTTATTGTGTCTCTTTGATTTGCCTCGAGTATTGACATGTTTCGCTATCTGTACAAGCGATTGTCTTTTCTTTTTTGTTCGACTTGCTTAGTTTGGGTAAATATAAAAAATACTTACGTTAATTAAAGTGTTGGTATGATCAACACGTCGCTGTCTACACTTGGCTGCAGCAAGCTTGTTCCTCTCTCGGCGAACTCGTCTCTTGTCTCGTTCTTCGGGCGATAACTATTTTAATAATCAAAACAAAAAATAACACATAATTAATCATATGATTTCATCTCTAAACATGATTATAAATATTAACTAAGAAAAGTCAAAATTTTCATGTAATTGTGGACAAAATTACCACACTAGTCTCGATAGTAGGGTTCGATCAAAGTACTTCTATGACGTATTCGAGTCGTGTGTAGTGAGGTACGTACATGAACCTTCGACGTCGAGACTATCAACTATTGTGTTTTCTCTCTTGACAAGTTAATGATTGATAAGCTTATCGCCTCTGTAAACAATTGTTTTCGTGAGATATCGCTTATCATGATACGGGATAAACAATATTGAAAGGTGCTTTGAAATGGAAACTTTATTTTTAATGAAACGACGGACCGTGCCAATATTTGATAGACGGGGAGAACTGACATCTAAAAAGATTTCTCTCACAGATTACACGTAATTTGTACACGTACATGTCCAATAGTTGTTGTTTTTCCCTCAAAGTATATATATTTTTTATTACTAGCTTTCAAAGCATGAAAGACCTTGGCATCGGTCCACTAGATCGTGTCATGGATATACTCTATCATTAACGTGATTGTTTGGATAGTACTAATGGTTGAATACAGAATGATTGGCATAAAGATCAAGCGTTCTGTTTCGTATGCGCCATGAAAATGTATTTGAATCATGACCATGTATAAACTGTGAATCTTAAGAGGACTTAATAAAAACGTGCGTGTTTAAATTCGCGTGTGATGTTGCTGGAGGAGAGCCAACACACATACGGGATACATCAATGAAATTTGCAAAAGAGAGACACTTTTCCTTCCTACATTCTCCTAAACGTTATTGATGAGTTATATCCCCTGTACCCTTCACCCTTCCCCGGTTACAATAGTGCACTTAATTCTTACGCTAGTCTTTGTATAACTTTCTCGAGCCCGAGCCCGACGCAAGGTGTGTAGCTAGTGACCACTGGTTAATGGGACAACTATGCAGTTAGTACAACCTGCGACTCACAGGAAGCTAGGATTTAGACACATGTGAGTTTAACATAAGAATTGTCCAATTAACCAGAGTCAGGCGAATAGGAGTCATAGCGCCACGCGGTCTTGGCTTGCCCCCTCCTTTACTATAAGCACTGCCCTGGTAAAAAAAACTATGACTCATTCTGCCATTCTCTTTCGTGATTAAAACTTGCGGAAGTTTGTCAAATTTGAGGGGGGAAAAAGCTTGGAGAGAGAGCTTTGGGGAATTAAACCCAGATAGTCACGTCTTCGAAATAGGAAATGCACGCGTTTAATCTGTCAATATTCGTGACGCAAAGATGCCGTTTTATCCAGAATTAATCGCTGTTTACGAGTAAAGTTTGTGGAAATTGAAATGAGCATAGTGAAGAGAAATGTGGACGCGTTTTGATTTCTTGCTCTACTTAGAAATGGGTGGAGCAGATAAAATATACCACACATCAAAAATTCATAATGATAATTGGGTCTCTTCAAACTTCTTTTTATTTATTCCAAGAAGCAATCAAATACGGAAGAGATGGATATGAGCCATCTTGTCTAGATCACTTCAAAATCTAACTTCCCTACGCGGTATTTTACCCAAGGTTTGCAAACATTTAATTGGCGGTTGATTGCTAAAAGCCGATTAATCTGCAAGCCTTTTCAGGTCTACAAACAAGAGAGTCCAAATAGTGTCACAATTACTTGTTTTACTTCTCGGTTTTCCCCCTCCTCGGGTTTCTTTTGAAGTGCTATTCAAACAATTAGTCAAGAGCTAAATTTGCTTTGGGGTAATTGAATCTAGCTTCGTTTCAGTTTATGGCTAAAGGTCGGTCTAACTTTACGAGAATATTGTGAAAAGGACATGAAATACCGACAAGAGAACAAAGGTTTTCTTTCGATGGGGTAAGTCGCTGGTGCGATAAAGTATGAGGAAACAAATTTCATGTTGCGAGACCAAGCGGTTTTCTTTTCAAAGAGAATGAAGTGGAACTAAGCCAGATACAACGGTTCTTTACAACTGCAAAGTGCCTGATAACAATCCTTGAAAAGTGTCCTCTGCACAGCCAGCGATTTAATTTCGTAATTTATGTAGAACATCTTGTAAACACTGTCTCAACTTTAAGTTAAGTTTGTCCTTCTAAAACGCATCTTATCATAACCGATTTAATGTATATTATTCATCTAATCTAAACCCTTCTCGCACCCCTTATCTACTTCTTACTTGTAATGAAAAATAAATGAGTGCATGACTTACATTTCTACTAACATCGTCATCTCTTCCCCTTCTGCGTCCTCCTGTAGAAGGTGACATTCTGTACATATCCAAATCGCCCCTCTCCCTGACGATTCTCTGGTGAGGATGGTGTGGGTGTTGCCCCCCTAAACCACCCCCTCCCCGTACCACAGCGGGGGAGTGGTAACCGTTATGAGAAGAGACGGGTGGGGGCACGAAGCTACCTCCATGGATGTTGTTGGGGTGTTCAAGCCAGGAGCCACCAGTCAGGGAGGTGGTTGGGGTGATGACTGAAGTAGGAATGGCATTAGGTAACGAGGTGACATGGCTGCTGATGCTTGGTGCATAGCTTGAAATGTCCATGATGTCTTCTGACGCGGTATAATCCTGAAAGATAAAAAGGTAGACAATTGGTTTAGGGTTGAAAGCAAAAGGTCAACCATCTTAACAAATGAACACATGCAGATGGGGAGAAACATAGCAGTATCAGGAAGACTAGGTTATTCTGAGGATGAAGATAACCTGGAGAATTGAAAGAAGACAGACTTGTGACTAAACACTCACTGCTTCCACTTTGACGAGCTTGGCCGATGGGTACATAATAGCCCGGTGATACATGTTAGCTCACCTAATCCTAAGCCCAAAAGCCTTCAGCTGACAAAGAAAATCCTCGAAAATGCAGTGGAATGAGAATTAATCTCAACAAATAGATCCCTTATATTCCAAGTAAATATATCCAAACTCGATTATCGAGATAAAAGCTAGCGGTTTCTAAGATGTCCTGTTCTACACCCTCACAGTTGAGAAGGGGAGGAGCGACCTGTTTGAGAGCGTGGGCAAGACTAACCATAATTGCCGCGAGTTCAGGATTTTTGTTGAATTCCGAGTCAGTGTATGGTTCTATGTAGAATAGCAACACAGACTCTACAAGCGGAAGTCATATCAGGCCGATCAGGGACTAACATATATCGCTTGACACGGGAACGTTGTTAGTTGAGCGTTTGCCAGAAACTTCAAGATTGGTCGCAACCATGCCTTTTCATTTTTTGAATGATACAATTTTGTTGATGCAGTCAGATTGTTTGAGTTTTGTTTATGAGAAAGGGTCTGTATAATACAAGACTAAGAAAATTTCCCCCTCACGAGAAGAAGGAAACTTATCGGAAGTTCATGACAGTGACGGGGCCAAGAGTCTGCAACGGGTGACGCCAAGAGCGAGGCAGAATACATTGAAACCCTTACTCATTCTTTCCGATCTAACAATTTTGCCTACTTATCTTTCTTCTTCTTCCTCTGACTGTTTACATGTATGATGTAAGGTCTCATTTTTATTTTTGTTATTATTTTGTCATATTTTAATTGAAATACAGATTATAGAACAAAGAAAATGTTATCACATCATTATCATATACCTTTTTCGAGCTAGTTGTTTGATACTATCCGCTAAAAACATTCATTACAATCCCAACCGCAGATAAAAATCTCCGATACAGTTTGTTTTTCACGCCAAAGTGCGATCTACCATGTCAACTGCATACATTTCGCTGTTAATACATTTCACTGTACAATTTGGCCACAAAAGTGCTCTTTGAGCTCGCTCTGTGCATAATGGCTGAGCTAAGCATGTAAGGGTTTTTGTTGAATAGGGTTCACAGAGCATTGTAGATAGGTCACAAGAATTGAAGGAAAAATGGCGAGATCGAGGTCGTGCTTATAATGCACCTGTTATGCAGCACACAACGGGTTGTCTGCCCAGTTAGGAGCAGACGCGCGACGCGACATGATCTGAATGGCACTGCATACCTTGCTACGGCCCTGGGAAACACGAACATTTTCTGGAGTTGTCTAAAAAAAAACGTCAAATGCTTTAATGTCTGAGCTGTCTTTCTCGGACAGTATGGAGATTCTACTGATTGCTCACATCATAAGAATAATACCACCCAGTCTCATCAATGTGGTGATTCTAATGAATCATCAAACTCTTTCATTAAACATATTAAAACACGGAAATGATGGAGATTAATTTTTTGTTAAGAGTTTTATGAAAAATTGCAAAAAGATATATCAATTCAAGTCCTGAATTGTAAGCTTTCCGCTCGCCTTAGAACTAGAATGCAATAAGAGGAATTCTAGAAATGATACTGAATGAGTTTATCAATGGTTAAGTTTGAGTACATTCAGTGTACATGCTCATGACATGTGATGATACTTGACGGGTATAATGTCAGTAATGTTTCCTTTCGATGGGCTACATTTTAATTAAAATCAGTTCTGTGGAAACTGAATTTATAATGCAATTCGAATTAGAGTTCTGAAACGAATAATAATTCAGTAAATAAAGCATTTGAGCGACTTCAAATAAAATAGCTGCATCATATCGCTAGTATATATCGCATAGGCGGAGTTGTATTAGGCATGATGGGAAGGGGTGATGATGCGGCATCCGCCATCATCCTCCTCCTTATCTGATCGCATCCCCAATAAACCCACCCTTACTCTACCACCACCATCATCATTCATACACGCCATTACAACTAACCTCACTGGTAGCGGGCATACAACCAGACGCCATAGTAGTCAACAGATCTTGAATACCATCATCGGCAGGCATATTGATCGTTGGGTACATCACAGATTTAGAATTTTCTCTCTTAATTCTCGGGTCTTCTTGCGCTGAAAATCCCCGGGTTCGTGTATCAGTTGAACTGCGAATTGAATGAGATATCGAAAGTGAACTTCCTTAGTGACGAATAGCTACCGCGGCTGCGAATTGTGGTCTCTCTTTTTCTCTGAGATCAAGCGATGACTAGTATATGAGTCACTGGTATGAGCGTATCGGCGATCTATGGGGTGTTCCTGATAGCCATGCGCATTATATGCTCGCGAGCTAGTGCGAGTGCAGGGCTATTTTTAGAAATTGACGAATGAGTATATGCAGTCGAGCTCGCTCGCAGTACTCCGTGCTTGATATAGGACCTGACTTCAAGCACTAAATTCGATGTCGATAATGTATGAGTGAGTTCTGCACACTACACGCTAGGTCGACCTCATTAATATATCCTCATCCACCAATCGGTGGTCAAAAGAGAGAAGAAACATGTATTTATTCGTAATTGATAAATTATGAAAATAAGAATATGCTACAACAGAATGGAACATTCCAGCTCGGAAAAGCTTATGAATATGCATGAACCATCCGGTGTACGCTGTGTCAATACAACGGCCGTGACGTCAGAAATATACAATTTGCATTGCGACCTGAAGGTCAATTCTTCGGCAGCCAATCAGAGAACAGCATCAGATAACGGCTTGATTGTGACGTAGCACTCCGTTGTGCTTTGTTTACTCGCCGTTTCCATAACAGAGACTGGTTGTATTGGAAAACACGTGTATACACTAGCTTGGTTTTCACTATTTACTATTAAAAACAATGTGTATTAGAGGAGAATTCTATACTAAGTATAAGGAAGATCGATTGTAGATCAACAACAAAAACATCTGATGGGTGAAATCGCTTCCGGTTTTTTTCTTCTCCATTTTCTATTGGTATTTTTCAAAGACATCTGATTTGCAATAATTATCATAAATTTGGAATGGGTTGATGTATTCAGCCTGGATGTGTTATGCAAATGTATGAGCGCGATGCCTATTATAATAACCGTCTCATTAAAATGAAACTGGCTGAGAAATTAGGAAATGTCCATCGAATTTATATAAAAATAAACTGTATATATTTACACATTATGACATATTTCTTTCAAATAACTCATTCTTTTTCCCACAAAATGATTCACATACTCTGTTTTATTTCTCTAATGCTGTTTATTTAAAAGGAATTTATAGATGCCTTGGTTTCATTCATATGATATTTAATTATCATTCCATATGCACATAGTTAATTTACATGTAATTATACAAGTGACCTCGGCATGTAAATCTATTCCACTTGTTTCTAAAAAGAAATGTTAAAATAAAATTAGCTTAACAATGAAGAAAAAGGTAAATAAAAAAATAATAAAACTTACAGGGAGAGAAAATACTATACGATTATAAATGATTACCTAATGATTCTTCCACAAATAAATTTACCTTTTTAAAAAGCCAACAAATCTATTTGCAAATATTGTATTCCAGTTGTGACGTGGGTGGACGGGTATATGACCGGCAATGTACTGGTACTCTGGTAGGCTACTTGGTTATACTGGTCCTGTCTTGCCAACTCCACTTTCACTATTATGGTTCTGACATCAATTCGACAAAATAATGATGAGGATTTCCGGTGAAGAAGAGCTTACCCTTTCAAGAAAACGAAATTAGATGAAAGGAACAACTAGTCCCACCCTGCGCCAATGAAACTATTAACCTATCATGATAGGGCGATCGATGAACTTGTCGAGAAGATCTATATACCATACGGGCTATTCGGCGAAAACCTGATTGATGGTATTAAGCGTGGGGGATACCAGAGCGCGTGCTGATTTACTACGTTGTTATGAAACAAAGCCATTCACGCGGGCTTTCTCAGAAACCATGTGAAGGAGCAGAGTCATACCGGTCGATTCTCCTTCCATTGTTCTATGGTGATGCCCCATACCACCAAGCGAAGCATGGGCGTGGTCGGCCAGAGGGGAATACAATACCCCCTGATGACTCATCTATCGGTAACCTTGAGGGATTCCCTCGCAATGCCTCGCATTCTTCGCATTCTTTGCCTTTCTGTCATTGAGTGTGTGTCACCGTCCCACGTGTTATATAACCATTCTTCGCTGATTAACCATCAACAATTATGAATTGTGTGCATCAATGATCACTATTTCATTAATATTTACTTCATTATGAATAGAGAGGGTGGGGTTAAAAGGCGTATACGAGCACACGCCTACAATAGTCACATTGTGGTTATGGCGAAACAGTTTCATAAACTGACACTAGAATAGAAAGCTTGATACCATGAACACGCATCAGAAATAAACATCATAATGAGATGAGTAATGAGGCATCCACTTTGTGATTCGAAATTATATTTTTGATTATATGGTGAATACTGATATGGGCGTTCCCACATGGGCGGTAAACGAAATACAGAGATGCTTATGCACCGTAACGCCATCAAATGATATTACGCTCCCATAAAATTATATGACCATTTATAATACCAGGTTACGCAATACTCATGCTATCATATTGACAATATGAAAAATTATTAACTAAATTATTAATACTATTTTTTCAATGTAGCGCTCTAAAATGATAAGTATATGCCTGTCAACGGAAATGTTCAAAGAATTCGGTAAATTTTGTGGCTTCGAATCATTAATGAGTCGTCTTGAGAAATGATTTTCACCAAATAATATTCTCCCGGAAGAGCATCTTCGTTTTTGTTTTTGTTTTTTGCGAATTTTTGCTATGTGAACTTTCCAAATTCCTTTAAAACAACAAATTAAAAGAAAAATCGGAAAAGAAACCATGATATGCTCAGGCGGTCACGCCAAATGATTACAACTCACCAGAACTGGAAGTTGATTCTACTATCAGTTTAGTGTATAGTAGACTATGTTATATACCTCATACATAGATTGTCATTCACTGATTGGTCAAAACTATATCACATGTCAAGGAGCATTTCGATCTATCAAGTATCATTACGTCAGAGGGGTTGATAGCTACTATCAAACCCTGGGATAGGACCCCTAACCCCTCCCGCGACTTAGTTGCGCACACAAATTTTTTGAGTTGCTAGGCTACCGCAATCGCGCGGTTACGCGCAGCGCGTAGGAATTCAATACTCTTGCCTTGGACTTGATGTTGGATTTTTCTTATTTGGGTTAGTAAATTCCTCTTGATCTCGTTTCCTGTTTTTAGAGCTAGATCTAGACCTACAGCTAGACCTAATCATGAATCAATAAAAAGGATGAGGTATATAAAACAAATATGGACTGCTCTGTAATCGGATGATGGTGGGAACTACCACTCCCTCGGTGGTGTTCACACCGGCCCTTCTATCAACCCCTCGGCTTCGCCTCGGGGATGATAGAAGGGCCGGTGTAAACACTACCTTGGGAGTGATATTTCCCACCATCATCCTCATGAGCAGTCAATATTTGTATACTGGATGCTGATGTATTATGACTACCCGACCACTTCTACTTCCAATATTTATAAGCATCGAAACTAATTATTTGACCCAAAACAAACCGGGTACACTATCTTCCGATACAAAGTTCAAATAACCGGAATGGTTTCAGTAATGTGCTTCAAGAAAAGAAAAAAAAAAAAGCAATTCATTATTTTTTGACTGTTTTCCTGATGTATGAGACCAGCGGTGGAGCATGTGTGTGTCCAAACGTTGAAAGGGCATCGCTATCATGGGGATGTAGGGGGGGGTCTTGATTTATGAAATTTGAATTAACAAGACCAGACAGAGCGAGGGTGTAGGCGGTTCTGTTGATGCGTAACCCATTGTAAATTAGCCCAGCTAATTGATCAATTAAAATACTTTGCACTGTTGCAAAAGTCGCAATTATTATATTTACGAATCATCCATGCAAGAAGAGATTGTTATGATTATATCGTGGCTTTTATTCACTTAAATTGCTATGGTTTCGAATAATACATCGATGCATACGTAATCATAAAATAAACTACGTTTATATTTTGTTATAAGCCTACGCTGGCCGTATTCATATGCAGGATTTGTTGTTGTTGAAAGTAATAGTAGATGAAATAAGTTGAATCGTTAAATATATTGTTTTTGAACACTAGAATTATGATCTTTAAAATGTACATAAAAGTTATGAATGCTTTGTAAGAAGACAATTGATAAAGATTTTGAAATATTATAAAGACTATTACCCCATATATCTTCATACCCAACACCTATCTCCAGAGTTTCATAGTAATCAAATGCCTTTTCAAGTAGTTGTCTTTCTCTCGAATGAACCTCCCTGTGAGAGAGAGAGTTAAAACTATCATTGAGTAACTTCAGCCCAATGTGCAAATGCAGTAATGTTTCCCATTTTACTCTTACCAAATACTTTGATTCTAATTGGAAAGAATTTTGCTTTGAATTGTCATACCGAATTCCGTCTAATATACATTCAATACTTAAAATTAAAGTTGAGTTCTGGTCGTGCAATTGCATTGTTAAAGAAACGGGGTGGAATCGAGCAGAACAAGTTGATCATGTAACATATAAGTATTGGTCTGTACTGCAAGGTTCTGGATTTATCTAAATGATAAGAAAGTTGGCCCAGTCTTGGTAAAAAAACGAAACAAGCACTGTTCACAGAAAGATGTATATGGGACTACACAAACTGCTTTTCAGGGAACATTTTTATTCTGATGTTCTTCCACACTTGCATAATAACAATGATAAGGCTCACAAATTATTTTACACCTCTCTCCAGAAATCAAGCTTCTCTTTAAAGGCATCGTTTAACAATATTAAATCTGAGATGCACGGCCCTACGTTTTATCATTGTCTGTGATATTGTGTAATATTGAAGCCCTAACCAAATCGCGCTTTAAAATGTTCAAGAAGTGCCTCAAAAAAGTAAACATCTTTGAGTGACCGGTTGTACCATACTCAATAGACTGTAGTGTTGTAATTCCAATCATAAATATCTTGACAATCAGACAGGCGATCGGCTTGTAAAAGTCATGGGGTTCCTGACTGACCTAAAGGTGTATAATTATTATTGCAGCATGAGCTAAATCCAGGATTTTGTTTCATAATCTGAGACAAAGTTACCGGATCCCTTTAAGTATACAGAAAAAATAGACGAAAAATGTAATACTGAAGCCAACATGCCAAATGTAGCTTTATTCCATTTTTTGCTTTTGTTTTATTACACACCCTGTTCTTAGGGAAACATGAATTGGAGCTTCATGGAGAGTTGTACCTGTCTGGTATGAACCGGAAAAGGAATGGTGTCGTTTCCGGTATATACCAGCTGGTATCATTATAAACTGGGTTAGTGTAAATAAAATTGGTTATTGAAAAGAACATTCTATTCCACTCTTAATCATAACAATTCGTACATACTTATGATATCAACAATATGATAGCGCACAATGGAGATAGGGGCTCAATGAGTAGAAGCTTATATGCATGATATTATTGCCTATTATAAGATTCAACACAAATACATGTTTTGGATTATTTATTTCAAATCATTATTATTATTACTATTTTTCAAATTAATAAATCAATTTATTCATCATTATCATTATTAATTTTATTATTATTATTATTATTATTATTATTTATTTATTTTTTCATTTACTTATTTTTATTTATATATATTTGTTGTTGTTGGGGGAGGTGTATAACCCTCCACACCACTTTGCCCCTCTCCCTCCCCCATCCTCGCTCACTCTCCCTCTCTCTCTCTCTCTCTCTCTCTCTCTCTCTCTTTCTTCAGAGTGGTTTTCCTGCATCCTTAACAATTTATGATCAAATTGTACTTATGTCCAATATATCAAAAAATCGATTATTTATTTCATTCCTTTCTTTTATTTCATCTTTGTTCATTTTCTTCTCTCGTATTCCTCTTTCCATCTTCCTCTTTTATTTCAATCTTCTTCTTTTTCTTTTAGATCGGCGTTTCTCATTTGGCATGTTGGAAAGATTGGAATACCTCCTTAACACACCTACAACACACCCATCCTAACCACACACACCCATCCAGCCACACACTTTTTTCTCCACTTTTCCACGAACACATTCACACAAAGTTTTTTTTTTACATTACTCGACTTGATCCAATATTCATGCATGTTTTAAATCCCTACTTTATCAATTTATACTTCTACATAATCTTGACATAACCCAGCATTTATATCTTGAACTGTTAATGGTGACATCGGAGATTAACATTGAGAGCTCAAAATATGAACTCACCGGAAGAGCTTTAACATCATTTTAAGGAAGGGACATTTTCTTGTATTTTAGAAAAATCCCAAATATTGACATAATCTCCCAATTATAACAATAGCCCACCCTACCAAAGGTCGTAGCTCCCACGTCAGATTATGACATATCTAAATTCGGCAGTTCAAAACTTGTTTATTCACATGGCAACGCGAACATGCCAGAACTGAAATGAGGAACTCATATCGATATAAATATGATGCCCTGGATACGTTCTAAATAAACATCGCTCATTGTGATACAAAAGACAGCTGAATAACACCCTGGCGAACAACAATAGAATATGGTGGTATGATTTGAAGGCCTGGATCGTGCTTCAATAGCTTGACGTCAGTCAGTGTTCATGCATGGAATGCTATGCTTTGGGTCTTTCATTTTTCTATTTTTTCAAAGGTTATAGGAAGTTTTGTTCTACGTCAGAAAACGTCACGATTAAAATCAAATACCTATTCATATAAGATATTTGCATAATATGTTTCTTCCTTATTATGTTTCTTTAGAGGGAAGTTAGAATAATCAATGACGTATTCTAGAACGGAAGTGAAAATATGCAACTCTTTATATGATAACAATAAAGTGAATAGCAGCCTATGTATGGGTATTATATTATATTTCTCATTGTTAATATTATCTCTCATATTAATATCATAAGCAAATTCAATATGCAATTTCAAAAAAAGATGTTTTACCTTATTCTTGCCTCGCAATCATACTGAATAGTGGACTTCCTGTTTCAATTTCTACTATCCACCCTTCTTAAAATGTATGTTTAATAAGAATGTATACCTACATAAAGATAATTAACTAGTATTACCTCAAATCTTTCTCCCTCCGACTTAAAAAACTGCTTTCGTGGTTCTAAAGAGGAAAGTACGACACTTGCAGACATTAAATCGTGGTTTGATGCTTACATCCACTTATTCATTTCAATATAACGCCTAGATCATAGCTTTTCATCATTTTGACTGGAAGCTTGTTCATCGCAATAGTATTAATTGTAATAACAGTAATAATGATAATAATAATGTATAATGATAATAATAATGAAAAAATAATGTATTATGATAATAATGATGATGAAAACAAATAATGATTATAATAGCATGTTAGGTAGGCAGGAACAGTTGATTACAAGTCGATTTCACACAAAAAAAATCATAGTGGTTTGAATTAATTAACTCGTAGGCAATATAATGGTTGTCTGCATCCATATCAGAGATATCAGATTAGAAGGGAATTTAAGGATATTTAAAGAAAATTACGTTATAAAAATCAATCACACCCACCTTATTTTTCTTCCTATGGATAATATCCCACTCATTGATTCCGCATACCAAATAAGGAAAAGTTTGATTGAATTAGCTTGGATTGAGGAACCAAGTAACGGAAGTGATTTGGGGTTACCTCCACAGAACTTTAAAATACGTATTTTACAGTTCAAGTTCAGGCTTCCAACCATTTACGTTTTAAGCACTTCCGGTGGACAAAGTCAAACCAGATTAAAACTCACACTTTTGTTCCGCGTCGGTTAATCGGGAATTTGTAAAGACTGAGCTAACGAATGATTCGTACACGCTAGAGAGTTGCAACTTGAAATATGATGCCACATGGTGGGTTTATGATTTAAAGTGACTTTTTAAATTCTTAACAACTGAAGGTCAGTAAATTTATTTCATTGGTTATTACTCCTATAGAGTACAACGAAAAAATATAACGTCATGGACATTTTATAAAACGTAAAGGAAACTAGGACAGGTAATGATAATGATGAATAATGATTATCTTACTCGTATTGCGGTTCAACTATTGGCCCTTAACACATGTTTCATGTATTATGGGAGGCATACTTTTTGCACCAAACAATGTTGTATTATGTTATCAGAGAGCTAAGAAAATGGGAATTATGTCATATTGCGTGAACACATTATCTGTTTAAAGTACAGTCAACTTGAAAGACTTCCAAGGTAGTGATTAACACGTCCGAATAAAACATGCTAAAGTCTATTGCTAACTCATTTAGATCGGCGCCATCATTGTAATAGTTAATGATGAAGAATGTTACTTATTCCAAAGGACATTCAAGTCTAGACTCTGGACTCCTCTATGCCAAAAAAAAGTAACAAGTGTAAGAATGCGAGCAAAGACACTCAAGTTAACACAGAAGAGTTTGGTTTGGGTTAATCTGTGGACCTGTACTCGTAGTGTATTCATTTTAGTGTTCCTCAAAGAAATAAAGAGAGAAAGGGCGGTAGACAGATATAGATGGGAGTTAAAGAGTAGAGTAGAGAGAGAGAGATAGAGAGAGGGGGGGGGGCTAGAACAAAGGGTTAAGGGTGGAACAGGGTGTAAATGATATTAAACGTAGACATTCCCACATTAACACCCGACTCCCCCTCCATCCCTCTATAATTCATTATTTATTAATAGTACACTCATTATGCATCACCTTTCTTAACTAGTAAAATGATATAGGGCGTGATTGGTTAGGTCCCTATGCTTGCCCCGACCCCGACCCATCCCCCTCCCATCACGTTTCTTTCAATTTAAAGGGCCTTTATTTATGTTCACAATTTTGTGCATTACCGGGGGCTGCAATCATCATATTTTCATCACATTCAAAATCATGTCGTTAAGAAACGGTCCTCTGTTCAACAAATTTCGTCAGCAAACACGAGCACATTTTGTTTCAATAATTGGAAAGTGAAAACCCGTGCCCGCACGTTATTCAGTTGGATATTTGGATCACAAACTTGCAATTTTTCCGAGGGGCTGGTTACTCCAATCTAAAACCGTTCCACAGTGTCAGATTTTTGGCAAGAATGGCCGAAAGAAAATGAGGTGTAATTGACTGAACAAACCTAATAAACTTTTATCGAATGCAGGTAATCGAAAAATTGAATCACTGTTTATTTCATTAGAGTAGCGGTGGGGCGAGGGTCTAGCCATATCATTACGAGAGACACGAGTTGCCATGCATATGACAAACATAACGTTGTCCAGGCACTGCTTCTCTCCTGCTCTCCTGCTCTCCTGCTCTCCCCAACCCCTCCTTCTCTCCCTCTCTCTCTCTCCCTCTCTCTCTCTGTGCCTCCTTCCGTATGTCCCTCTCTCTACCTCCTTTCATATGTCCCCCTCTTTCTCCTCTCTCTCTCCCTCTCCCTCCCTCTACCCTTCTCTCTCTCTCTCTCTCTCTCTCCGCTTTCTCTCTCTTCAATAAACATAATGAAAATAACATAACAACAAAGATAAAAACTAAACTCAAGTCAGATGGATAAATTATATATAGAAAGAATTGATAGAAGAGGATGGAACGGAAAGTGAAATAGGGAAGGAAATGGAGATAGTGAGAGAGGGGGAGAGGGGGGATTAGATTAGCGAGATAAAGGGGGGAAATAATAGAGAAATAAGGAGAGAAAGAAAGAGGGGGTTGGAATTTCGTGTGTATCTCTTATAGAACGAACTGTATGAGCCCCCCCCCCCCCCCACTCTATCCCGTTAAGGGGATTGACCTACTCCCCTGAAACGAGGTAAAACTTATCAAAAACAATCCCAGTTTTTACACGTGCTCATCAACATGATATCAACCAGCCATGAGCGTTGTAAGGGGCGGGTATCTGTCCGTAAATGGTTTGATCATGATTATCTCATTGGTAGCCACCAAATCGTTCACAATTCTCTTCAATATTTTTAAGTGTAAATAAAAGTCTTTGTATCTTTTACAAAGCTACCTGAAATAATCGGTCGCGCTGCCAAATGAATATTTGAAGCCTAAAGACGTCGGCGCCAAGCATTAATTTTCAGAAATTATATTTTGACAGGCAAGGCTGTGAATCCCAAAGTGATTTTCAGAACACATTCTGCTGGTACAACGTATGATAACGAAAATCTTATTTGTTTTGGAAAAGTAACATGACAGTACCTTTGGGGTCAAAATAATTTTAAACGGAATTTGCATTAAAGAGAAATATCAATTCTAGTATAAAGGTGATTAAAATTAATTTGGTAGTTTCCGATTCTCGGGTGAACGCAGCCCTAAGCCCCTCACTTCTCGTACATTTATTTTCATTACAGACCAGTTATCTAACGTTATGAGGGACATTTCGCTGCATCAACATGTTTGTACCGTACATATTAAAACATAAGCAAAGCAAAACAAAACAAAAACCAAAAAAAAAAAAAAAAAAAATCTTACTCTGTCATATCAGTCTGAGACGTGTTAGCTCTGAAATCCAAAAGCAATGAGATGACTCGGTCAAAGATCACACTTGATCCAAAGATGAGCTGGGAAATATTTTGACGAGAAAATCAAAACATTGAATTACAGTAAAGCGACTGTCCTGAAACCATAACTGTATAATTATTTACACTGATGTTTACTGGACGAAACGCATAACATAATTAGCAAAATTATAATGAAATATCATAATCAAATTTGCTATTCAGGTGTAGAGAATATGGAGATTTCCTCGTTATGTAATTATATTCCATTTGTTATACAGTAGCGGCACTCATTATGATTTTTCTCTTTCTGACACCCATTACGTTATTAATCACTTATCTCTCTATATAAGTTTATAACAGCTGTAAATGGACATATGTTGGTGTTTCATATTTCATGTTTTCTCTGTTATAAACCTGTGAGAGCCCCTCCCCCCTTCCCCGATTTCAATGCCCTTTTAATGGCTTACCTTACGCTACGTCGTTTTGAAATAATCAGGGAGGTGTTTTAACTCTCACATCCCTGAAATAATCATGACCTTTGATAAGAATCATGGTTATCTTAAAGGTACTATGTCCCATTTGCAGGCCAAAAAAATGAAAAAGTTAAATTCCAACTGCATTTGAAAGATAATACTAATTTAGAATTCCCTAAAAAGGTGGGGCTTGAAAATGTCTTCAAGTGGGAAAATAACGACTATTAGTTGTCAAATCGACTTTAGGGCTATAGAGCCCAAAAGTAATAGTCTTGATTTTCAGACAACTGTACTGAATGGTCATACGTTTTATGCTGCGCAAAGATTCAATCAGTTTAATCTTGGCCATCACAAGAAGTGGGTTATTGATGTAGACAAATGCTCATGTACCCTTTACAACTCTTTTCATGCATGGTATTACCAAAGAAGAAAAAAAGCCAGTCAGTCACTCAATAGTGTCTGACAGTGAAGTCTAGAAAGTAAACGGGTTTCCTTGTATAATTTGAATATGAGGACACTGCCAACGTTTAAATTTCACAGATACGACATACATGACATATTCATAATTCCTGCAAAGTTCTACAGAATTTGAGGTTGGCTGCAAAAGGGACATAGTACCTTTAAAAAGATAACCGTGCATAATGCGCTGCGTGCATGTCTTTGTCAAAAGAATGACACCATTCTTAAAATTAGACATGAGCATTATTATACCACTTACATGTACCATGGACCCTGCATGTACTTCCTTATGCAATGTATCATGAACAGGAAATAATTCCGAAATTGTCCGTATTTCCTCTTTGACGTAATATCATGGACCTAATATCAACGTAATTACTGATTTGCCATCGTACACGATAATTTTTTATTTACATATATTTGTTCGTTAGTTTGTTTATGGTTTATAGAAAGCGTTCGCGGCAAACTACTCTACCAAGCCTGATCAGATTGCCTTCAAATTAAACGCTGACTGATTGACTCATTTCTGAGTCCAGTGGTTGATTAAAAACAAAAAAAAACGCAACTAAACTTAGAGTACATTTTCCATGAAAGTAAGAAAGAAATATGATCTAGAACTGATTAGTTGGGAAAAGAGGTCAGGAGATGACATTAGTGATTCATCACAACATGTACTCAGAGAAAGCGCAGTCGGTATAGCAGGCGCGACGTCATTTGCCTGACGCAGGGCTGTGTCAGTGACTGGTGCGCTCTTTGACGCGCCCTGTGAAACGTGACAAAATGAGCACACATGGCATTGATTAACCTGGGCTAATTGACTTAAAAGGCTTCATTAGCGCAGACAATAACGCAATCAAAACGACACTTCGTGGGCAACAGGCATTACAAACATATAAGTAAAACTATGTGATAGATCAACAAGATTTCAAATTTATCAAAACTATATTTCAAATATGACCATGATGAGCGCATTAGATTTAACAGTTCAAACATTTTAAAGAAAAATTGACTCAGAGTTGGATAATTGCTACGCCTTGCTTTGTGTACTTTTATTACGTCATGATCATAAATACAGATTTGCTTATCAAGATCATATCAATCAAAATCTTCCATTGTTTATGATCACGTGATCGAAAGAATATTTGATATCAATGCAATATATCTATGACGTAGCACATCATGGGGATATTATCTATATGAATACGTATGTGCTAGCTGGTTCGTATACTCACGTTTCGGTCCAAAGTTCATATCATTCGATTCGGTTGATGATTAGTTGTAGGAACGAAACCGAATTGCAAATTCTCGTTGCCCAATGTCCCGAACTCGACTAATAGATATGTAAGGAATATTTTTAAACGATGCTATATAAAGTGTATAATGTCAACCGTTTGTTAAGGGGGCAGAACTGACTACTTTTTAGGTGATTGGAATTTCTTCCGTAAACTTAAAGAGAAACATTCTCTCCCTGCTAAAAAAAACACACCAATCTCCATATTCATGTACGTGTAGTAATAACGTACTATCGCTGAATTCCTGGTGATAATTTTTTTTTAAAGTAACAAAATACCAACATTAATATTTAAGATTTAAATGAAAAAAAAGATTGCTGCGTCTTATGGTGGAAGACAAGGAAGGAAATTGCAAGCAACTAAAACCAAAGAAGTCAGTAATACATCCTGAATTTAAAGACTAGTCAATCACCAGTGGAGGGGTGGGTATTGTATTTAAACTGTGCACGCAAGCATTTATCTTATTCATTGAGTTCAAAGCCGAAAACCAACTAAATTACCGGCTTAAACACGTTAAGAGAAGAGTGACTGGTATTGACTGGTCTTTTCAGCTTGATCAGTTTCTATACATACGATATTGCATAAGTATGAGAAATTTCTCCTTTCGGCGATGTCGCGAAGTGTCCTCGTATTTTATTACATATCATAGTGATGAAAAAATGTTCATGACTTGGCATAAATATCACGAAGATAGGAAAACTGAAGAAAGTCGGAAGTAAGGGTTGGCTGAATAATTTTTAAAAGAGAATTCATCATGTTTAAAATATTCTTAAGCTGTTTGTGACTGGTATTGACCGGTCTTTTTAGCGGCCTGATCACTGTTCCTATACATGCAATAGTGCATAAGTATGAGAAATTTCTCGTTTCAGTGATGTCGCAAAGTGTCCTTTTAGTTTATTAAATTTCATATTAATGAGAAAAATATTGATGATTTGGCAATAATTTCATGAAGGAAAAATGAAGAAAGTCGGAAGTACGAGTTCGCCGAATAATTCTAAAAGAGAATTCATCATGCTTAAAATATCCTGAAGTTTTTTGTTTCTGCAACTTCATTTTAGAATTAATTTTGTTCTTTAATCATGTTCATTGGAACACGGCGTGGACCCAGTTATTGAGAAGACAATGGCTTCATTTTTTTTGGGGGGGGGGGGCACTGGTCTTACGAGGTGAATAAAATGCGACTTAATGAGGCCAAATATTTAGGGAGTGGTGAAAGGTTATTCCATTATCATTTTAACTGTCTATTTTATTTTCTCTCTTTTTTCTACCCCCCCCCTAATCGATCGGGTGCACGTGACACCTTTATCCCCCCCCCCCCTAGCTTTTCATATTCCTTGCTCTAGAGCAAAATTATGTTTTAAATTCCTAAAAGGGAGTAATGTACTGTAAAAAGTCTATTGAAGCTTAATTAAATCCATATCAATCCCACCCCCACCCAACTATGAAGCGCGATTATATGCTTTCTCTATAAAGTGCTTGATAGTGGAAGACAGAAAGAGGGAGGGAGTACTGGAGGGAGATGAGGGAAAGAGAGGGAATGAGGGAGAGAGAGAGAGAGAGAGAGAGAGAGAGAGAGAAGTGGGGGGGGGGGGAGAAAGAAGCTATGTAGGTTTAGCATTGATATCTACAGAGAAAGGGAATAACGCGGTAAATAAAATGAGAAAGGGATACAGAGACAAAGAGAGGGAGAGGGAGAGGAATCTCTTGTTCATTACAGTTTACACGTAGAGTAAAAAGATGGAATCAATGTGCGATTGACGCCTCATTAATAACAATTTTTGTGGAAATGTTAGGAACTTACCTAAACGTTGTTTTGTTTAAAATGACGTTGAACTTTAACGGTTTAATATCAGATCGACAGCAATGGTGTGTCCTCAAAACTGCTCCAGCAATATTATGGAAATTTGTTTGAATCGAAGATTCAATCACAATTAAATGATAAACAGTCTTTTCGTACACAATAATCATCCATCTGATTTTTGTTAAATGTGATGCCAGATACAGCGAGCATATACCCGGATGACAAAACTAGATTTCTCAAACCCACATGAGCATGAGATGGTAAGGGAAAAGCTGCTTGAAAAAGTCAGAAGCTAGGAACGACCCCCGAGTAGTTTCGTTCCATACTAAGTCTTTTACACTACTAATTCCTACAACGGTCACAACGACTCGAATTCTTTACTGATGTCATAAATACTATATAGGGATATGGCGAAATCACCACTTATGAAACATTCATTGTGAATTATGTAATTCATAGCCTTGGAATAGACATCGTGTCATTTTAGTGCGCGACAGAGCGATCGCAAAAAAGTTTGTCCACCGGAAGTAAGGTCACGTGACTTTTCACCGAGAGGCATCGCTGCTCTCGCAGTCGGAAGCATTTCGTTTCTTGGTGGAAGTTCTGTTTAAAGAAAGGAAGATTTCAAATTGGAGTGATTAAGGTAATGTCCTGGCCATAAACGTCCGCAGAGTTTGGATTTAATCGATTCTTCCTGCAAGCAGAAAGCAAGCTTTAGGAAGAGGCAAACTTTTGAGATGTTGGCCTCCCGTTGACAAAAAAATGGGCAAAGTATTGCTGTAGTGAAGGTCGTCTCTTGCCCGAAAATTTGATTTTGAGTTTCCACACCAACTTACCGGCTTTCATAATTAACGCAAAGGTAACCATATCCTCCTTTCCCCTTCCTTAAAGGTAAAGTCCGGTAGTGGTAAAATTGCAGTTCAAGGGTTTTGGTGCAAAATATCCATTCAATATTGTTTAAATATTGTGTTCAGAGGTTTAGATGGCAATACTTCAACCTTAATTCGCAACAAAGCGGAAATATGTATGCCCAAATGTTCAATGTTGAAGTGCATTCGCGATATCTATCCAGGCCGGATCGATATGGTAATTTACCTAATATATCAAATAGTAGGCGGTTTCCCGGCAAAATTTGTATCATCACGTATAAGTCAAAACATATTCTTTTACATGATTGGTAATAAGAGCTTCCATTTCATTTTTTGAAAGGGGGCGTTTCCAAAACTGGTCTATACCTTTAATAAATATCACTGAACACATTGAACCATGACAACCATCAGTTGATATAGGTGTGTTTTAAAAAATAATTTTTGTGGCTTTAACCCAGAAAATAAAACCAATAAATGTTTATGGAGCCACAGTCTGCTTCTTTTTAATTATGCATTTCTATGTTGTCTGAAAAAGTCGAATTAAGTCTCTCTTTTTTTTCCCTTCTGTCTCGAGGGGATGATGATGAAGTGAAGAAGGATGAGAAGGAGAAGGAGAAGAAGAAGAAGAAGAAGAAGAAGAAGAAGAAGAAGAAGAAGAAGAAGAAGAAAAAAAATCAGATAGGTATACACAGAGAGGAGAACAATGAGATAGAAACAAATTTAAAATATATCATGCGAATAGCATTCGTCAATTTTATGGTTGCAATACCGAATTTAATGTAAACCAATCTCTTGTTCTTTTTGTTTCGACTGTTACCGGCTCGAACATAAAAGACACTACATGCAAATGCCCTTTATACTCTCCATATATTTACATTACAGTTAACTTACTAACAAACTCAACTAGGTCAATAAGTCAAGGTTCGTGCGAACATCAAGGTGACTCTTTGCACACGGCCCTATAGCAATGAACAGGGGGCGGTACAGGTGTAGCGAAACGCTGTGACGTCACAATAGCTCGCCAACGCGCTCCTATTGAACCGTTATGAAAATTCATTGTTCAGTTGTTGTATACAATCAGTAGTTTTGAACAAGTCATCTCATAACCTAACATTTACATTTACTTATCGATTAAATAAAGTTTAAAAGCGTGACATTTGATGATGATGAATATGCGAAATGAAACAAAAACATTAAGAGTAAAGTTTTTCTTGAAAACTAAATGCTGACTCACAGCGTTGGCGTATTCGCTTGGCATTCAACGAGGTCAAGCGACAAGCGTTTGTCAGGTTATCGCAAATTTCATGAATTAGCTTTGTGATTAATAATGAAACCATTTCCTGAGTACTTTAAAGTTTGTTACATTTACAGGTTGGTTTCACTTAAACGGTACAAAAGAGCAGTTTTCCACGAAATATTTGAAAAGGAGCGGAAATATCCGTGTGGAAGTGAAAATGATATCCGAATGGGATTCCGTAGCAGGTCAATTGCAAACCAAAGTGGAAGTTGACATAATGGCAACGTCACTGCCTAATTTTCACTATCAATATTATTGCAGGTGATTCAACCACTGGTTATCATTCCACTCATTTTATCATCGGTTCCTATTTCCTTTTAATTATTAAATTATTAAATTAGTTTCTGATGATCATAGTATTATATTAATATATTGTATTTGAAAGTATCGTATTTATATTTGGTTAATAGAAAAGACAGCTCAAAATAATGATACATTAATTTTATTGCATTCATATTAGGTATGATTAAAGGTCAAGGAAATCAAATATCTCTCCTCAAATTAACTTTATTTGGGGGTTTATCATGTCTATTCCAACTGAAATTTACAATCAAGGAAAATTCTAGGCATTTTAGGTTGAGATTATGAAAATATCCTAAATCATGACCGTTTCAAATTTTAATGTCCATGCTGCTATTCCATTTTGAAATATTAGCATCCATGTTTATTTTTATGATGACATATCGGGATTCAATAAAATAGTCGATATAAGGAAAATACAGATAATAGTTTGGGATTAGAATAATCATTCAAATAGGGATTATGATATAAAACAAAGTGTTCATTCAAAACTTAGAAATTCCATAATCCATCCATTACCCATGCAGTAACTGACAAAGATATTCATGGATAGCAAATCTTCTTCTTCTTCTACTTCTTCTTCTATCTTCTACTACTTGCTCTTCTTCTTCTTCTTGCTCCTCTTCTTCTTCTTCTTCTTATTCCTCTCCTGCTTCTTCTTCTTTCTTCTACTACTTGCTCTTCTTCTTCTTCTTCTCCTTCTTCTTCTTCTTCTTCTTCTTCTTCTTCTTCTTCTCCTTCTTCTTGTTCTTGTTCTTCTTCCTCTTCTTCTCCTTCTCCTTCTCCTTCTTCTTCTTCTGCTTCTTCTGCTTCTTCTTCTTCTTTTTCTTCTTCTTCCTCTTCTTCTTCTTCTCCTTCTCCTTCTTCTTCTTCTTCTTCTTCTTCTCCTTCTTCTTCTTCTTCTTCTTCTTCTTCTTCTTCTTCTTCTTCTTCTTCGTCTTCTTCTTCTTTTTAAACTTTAATTCAACTATTGATTATTTGGGCTGGTGGTTGTTCCCGCGCGGAGGTAACAGATCATACAAGCTCACGATGATGACAATTCTGATCTATACCATTAAAAGGACCTTTTTACAAAATTATTTTCCCCGATATTTCAGAAGAACCAAATAAAAATCACACAATAAGTCATGAGCCAAAGTTTTCATCTTGATTAGTACTTCTTAAATGGCTTTGCAGAATCTAAATCGACACAATTTGTTTCTAATCCAAGTATAAACATGTTTTCACAGCGAGAATAACATTAAAACTGTAATACAAATTCCTTTTGATGTTACACTATTTTTGTGATCAGCATTGGATAAGAAATATGAATAGAATTGTGATGTATCATCCGCACGTTAAGGATACTATGTCCCTTTGCAGCAAACATCAAATTCTGTAGAACTTTGCAGGAATTATGAATATGTCATGCATGTCCTATCTGTGAAATTTAAACGTTAGCAGTATCCTAATATTCAAATTATGCAAGAAAACCCGTTTACTTGCTAGACTTCACTGTCAGACACTATTGAGTGACTGACTGGCTTTTTCTTCTTTGGTAATAACATTCATAAAATGAGCTGTAAAGGGTACATAAGCATTTGTCTACATCAATAGCCCACTGTCTTCTTGTAATGGCCAAAATTAAACTGATTGAATCTTTGCGCAGCATAAAACTTACGACCATTCGGTACAATGGTCTAAAAAATCAGACTATTACTTACTGGCTCTATAGCTCATGAGTCGATTCGACAACTAATAGTTGTTATTTTACCACTCAAAGACTTTTTTAAGCCCCCCCCCTTTTTTTTAGGGAAGTTCTAAATTAGTATTGTCTTCCAAATGCCGTTGGAATTTAACCTTTTCATTTTTTTTTGGCCTGCAAATGGGATATAGTACCTTAGGCCTACATTGTACACACCACTAAATTTACAAAAATTCTTTTGAAAATTCTCTCTTTCCAGAGTTAAACAATATTTGTTACACAATATCCGGCATACGTTGAAACAGTGACACTGCTACGAGGGGCAATGAGGGAAATAAGGGGAAAAGAAAGAAGAAGAAAGGGAGGGGGGGGGGGGGGGGAGACAACAAGAAACAAAACAAAAATAAGATTCACTCCCAAACCCTCCCTTCCCAAGACGAAATTAATGTTCTCGCATTTCATCCACATACTGTGCAACTGATGAGGAGAGTTACGCCAACCCAGTTCAAATACTGCTTCGTTGGGCAAGCAAAAAACAAACAAAAATAATTTATGACCGAATGAAACTAAATTGAACAAACTTTGTGTGTAGATTGCTCTGTCCACATAGAAATACCAGTGTCCCCCATGAAACCCCCCCCCCCCCCCCTCTCCTGGGTGGACCCATGTTGTGCTACTGCCTAGTCCACAGCATTAGAGCATGCACCTACTAGTTTGTAGTAAGTGCATGATTGGAGGCACTGTAGTGTTCGAGTTCAGTGATTGGAGGACAGGGCAAGTGCATGCTATGATCGCCACCTGAAGAGGGCGCTAAACGCAACAAAAAACGGGTATGGTAAAAAAAAATGGACGAGGCATATCTTGTACATTATATCTTGCATACGGAGTTGTGTTATAAAGGATTGAAATTATGAAAGGACTTCTAGCAATTGGTCGCTTTGCCAACTTAATAGATGTGTTGACATTCGGCCTATGTATGAACAGATAACACTATAACAAAAAATAATATTAAAAAATCCATAGGACAATTAATAGCAGGGGGAACGGCGGCCCCTCCCCCTTTTCGTTTGGTAGGTTTACATGGAATAGTTGTTAGAGCATGTCACTTCATTCTTAGCATGATAAACATCTGATTGTTATAATAATGATAATAATAATAGTGGGTTCTTGTATAGCGCTCATGTCAGTCCCGATTATTACCCTGCCTTTAGCACGGCTGCCATCCGGCACTCTAGCATTTCAAGGAATAAATTCCTACCAGGTACCCATTTACTTTACCTGGGTGAAGTGTGGCAAATGTAGATCAATGTCTTGCCAAGGACATTAGTGCGGCGGCGGGACTCGAACCGCGGACCTTGTGATCGACAGTCCGGCGACGTATCCTTCGACCACAACACCTCTACCTATTCCTTGGATAACATGCTTTATTTTTGTTTTAACCTCATCTCTCTCTCTCTCTCTCTCCCTTTCTCTTTGCATCTCACTGTCAACCCTCTTTCCTTTTCCATTCGTGTCCTTTTTCTTCTTCCCTTTAGAGACAGATAAATAAATGGTATTTTATTGCATCTTTCATGAATGGTAGTTTCACAACTGAATTGCACATGAATTACACGAATTGGATATATACATTGTAAACAACTTATAGAACATTTAGTTAAAAATTATTTTAACGTGTCATGTTACTACTGCCTAAATACCATAAACAATTAAAAAACAGTTCATGAACATAATTTCTACCGAAAAAGAAAAGAAAAATGGTATAAACATAATTATATGCCAACATATGGACTACGACAAATCATACAACAGTTCGTCATGTTGCAAAATTGCAGTTGTGGGTATAGTGGTAAAATAATCAAGGATAGCGGCAAGAGCAGTGGTATGAACATTTAGTAATATTTAAAAAAATTATTCAAATTTAAAAGTAAATAGCAATTCAATATCATTAAAACATACCGGTACGACATATAAAATCATTAAAAGAATGTACAGGAATCAAGACATTTCAATGATAAATCATTACAATAGATATATACATGAGCAAACCTCTCTTGCTTGTCCCAAGCGCGTAGCCAGGATTTAATTTGAGGGGGGCTGTAGTGAGCACGCCAAGCGTGCGAATCACTTAAAGAGCGCGCGAAGCGCGCTTCCTAGGGGGTGGGTGCAGGGAGGGGGGAGTTCCTCCCGCGCGAAGCTTTGAAAGAAGACGATTCGTTGTACCTTTCCCGACTCTTAATCCTTATCTGTATTCAGTCCCCCTCCCACGCAAAGCGCGGGAGGGTTGACGTTTCAGTGTCTTGAGTTTTGACGCTTTGACGTTTCATTAATTTATTAGAGAAAGAAGACGATTCGATGTACCATTCTCGACTCTTAATCCTTGTCTGAATTCAGTTTCCTCCTCTCCCGCGCAAAGCGCGGAGACTTTGAATTTTCATTACATTATTAGAGAAAGCTAGACGACTCAAAGTACCGTTCTCGACTCTTAATCCTTGTCTGAATTCCGCCCCCCCTCTCGCGCCAAACTCTGACGTTTCATTAAATTATTAGAGAAGAAGACGATTGGTTTTACATTTCTCGACTCTTAATCCTTGTCTGAATTCAGTCCCCCCCCCCTCCTCCTGCGCGAAGCTTTGACGTATTATTAGACAAAGAAGACGATTCGTTGTACCTTTCCCGACTCTTAATCCATATCTGTATTCAGTTTCCCCCTTTCCGCGCGAAGCGCGGAAGCTTTGACGTTTCATTAAATTATTAGAGAAAGAAGACGATTCGTTGTACCGTTCTCGACTCCTTTTCCCTTTTTTCTTACTTTTTTCTTCTCTTTCTCTCTCTTTTTTTTTTTGGCCGGCGTTTTTGGCCACCGCCCCCCTGGCTAAGCGCCTGGCTTGTCCCTCTCAAAGGAACTGTGCCCCGTTTATTTTCATTTTGATTCATGACAAACTTCGATCAGTCAAAATATGCCTAGATTTAAGATCTTGCTAAAGTGCTTCATTATTTTGAAACAGGCCTGTGACCTACCTTTCCAAAACTTCAACAGTTTTTGTGGGTTGAAAATAAAATAGGTGAATACAGGGGTGCAAAGACCGATGCATTGCAATCGACAGGCGAAATCCATAGAGTCAGAAAATAGGCGCCATGAAGAGATGTACTTCATTGACCTGAAAGCTTGTGATGGCGCTATAATAATTAGCATCGAGATAATATTGATATAATTTTGACTTTTATTGTTCTTTTTCTTGCTTAAGGCAAAATCATTTTCAAAATATAAGATAAGAGGGGCGATCTTTAAAAGGACATCCACAATAGAATAGTAGGCCTAAATTTATCAAAAACCATAACATCAAGTTTTTTTTATGCTAGTGCTCAATGCTCACACTCTCATGATTATGAACCCCCCCCCCCCCCCGTCATACCGATAGACCAAAATATATCAATGAAGTCTAAGCCATTCGGGGGTAATGTAATTTTGTTGTCGGGCTAATTGGGTCAGACTCGTCGATGTTACTGGAATACAAGCAAACACTGTAATGGAACCTTGCCGAAGTTCTCTTTGTTAATCCCCATTGCCCTATTCAAATTCAAATTAGCCCTGGCCTGGAAGTCTATCAATAAGCTTTTGCAACGCTTGGTGGAGTTCTTTACAAAGGTCTGATCGATCGTCGCCGTAAGAAAACGCCACAATCGTAACGAGGCACAACAAACGACGCGTAATATAGGTGATTGGTATTTCAATGCGCTACATGCCTTTACGGTGTACGTATTTGTATTTATAGAGCCGATTGAGATTAATTGAAGACTTAATCGCCTGGGATAATCATTAACTCGTCAAACAATCGAGGTTATAAACCTCATCACCGTTAGTTTTGATGACCGTCGGCAGCTTTACTTGCCTAGCAACTGAGATTTTGGACACTTTGCCTGTTTTGTTTGATCTTTTTAAAAACTTCCATGTACTGCGTGCAAGGTGTATTAAAAATGACTGGTTTCTTAATCGTGTTAATGGATTTCTGATGAGGACGGTATGGTCTTTGTCTATATTCGACATTGAATAAATTGACATGTCGCCGGTTAACGTTTCGAATTCGACGTCCTCCAATGACGACGTCGAACGGATAGGGAAGACGGTTGGATTGGTCATCATCGTTTTGCTTTCCGTGATCGGGCATATCATCTACTTCGTGACATTATTTCGAACTCCACGACTACGTGTTCGAACTGGACCATGGTATCTCTTCACCAACATCGCCCTAGCCAATGTCGTCGCCGTCGTCTTCTCTCTTATCCCCAACATCCTCGCTACGTGGTCGGGATCGTGGACGTTAGGTGATGGGTTCTGCACCGCCTCAGCATTCTTGACCAGGTTTACTTTCTATCAAATATGGCACACGGTTGGAATCCTCTTCGTAGAACGGTACGTGAGGATCATGGTGCCGCTCAAGCACAAGGAAATCTTCAGGGTTATACCGACGATGATCCTTCTGAGTGCGCTCTGGTTTTTCGACGCCGTTCTGTCCATGTTTCCCTTGATCAACTGGGGAGGGTATGGTTACCTCATCACAGAAGGACAGTGCGCCCACTCTGTCGATGGCTACCAGAAGAATGTGTCTCATCTGTATTTCACCATCGTCATGGGCATCGTCCTTCCGATGTTTCTTTCGATCACGTTGTTTGTCGTTACTGTGCGTGGAGCATTAAGGCGCTCGAAAGATAACGAGGACATCTTTAAAGAGGAGTTAGAAATCCCGGAATCGTATGGCTACAAGCTGAGACGCCGCGAAAAGACACTCGCACGAACCATCAAGAACCCGACCTTGACGGAGGAGAGGATGAAGAAACTAAGAAAGCGACAAAAGAAACGAATTAAAAAGAAAAATAAACGGGCAAAGCGTGGTAGAGACGACGATTCATCATCATCATCGTCATCATCATCCTCCTCTTCGTCGTCATCATCATCGTCTTCGTCCTCCTCCTCCTCATCAGAAGATGAAAGTGCAACTCATCGGCGGTACAAGGATGCAAAGCGGAAGAAACGAGCATGTCGATATCGTCCCAATGAAATGGCGTTTGTAAAGACAGCAGCGCTTATCCTCCTATCCATCAGCATCTGTTGGATCCCTTATCTCATTGTCAAAGTTTTCGAGACCTACGACATCGTACTCCCATCAATCATCGTAGTCATCGTCGCTTTCCTCTCCTACTTCAGCCACGCGGTTTGTCCCTTCATCTACATCATCAGCAGCAGGAGCTTCAGACGAAATATCAACAGAGCATTTTGTCGCGCTTGTCTCAGAGCTAGTAAGAGAAAGAAGAAGTCAGAAGAAAGGAGACAGAGAAATGTCCAGGAAGGTGGAATCATCCATGATAATGAGGCCTATCTAGGTGATGAGGATTCTGGAGTTGAGGCTGTTTCAGAAACTATGTAATGGCTGTGTGTCTTAATAAGGCATTACATTTTTTATTGTGTTTGTCTATAACAACAATTATTTGTCTATAACAATATCGTAAAAGCAGATTTTACCCCTCCCCACCATAGGAACCCATTAATGTGTAATTAAGATGTACACAACACTTGCTCAAAATAAATTGTGAAAATCATTGTACTTTAGTCCTAACTAAAGCTTTTTCGACCGGAATATCACATGAATGGACAAAAGAAACGTTGCTTCCAAACGAATGTTCCTAAAAAAGATTTTAAAAAGATTGGAAAGTCAGTCAAATGATTGGTACGACCAGAAAGCACATGCTTTTACCAAAAGAGTTGTTACAGGTTATTTTTGTTTAAAGTTTAAAAAAAGGGGAAAATAAAATTATCAGCATAATTCTTACGTCAATAATTATTCAAATGCTTTGCAAAATCTTATATTCTTTGTTATGCCAAAGTATGATTCTTTTGTGATTATGTAAGTTTGATTTGTATCATTGTATCTTTGAGTGTAAACAAAAATTATCTGATGAGGCATAGAAAGAAAGTATAAGAAAAAAAGATGATATAATTATAACTAGGGGGAATTTATGTTAAGAGTGTGGGGTGAAAATGTCTTTAAAATCCCTGTCAACTTCCAGCGTTTGGATTCGCCAATTTAGGGAGGGGGGGGGGTAGATTTCGTGGACGATAGTGGCATAGGTAGTTTTTCAAGATTTTATGTTTTGGCTGTACAATATCGTTTAGTATCATTTTTGTTATGTTACCTACTTGGGGAAGTATTTGTGTGTAAATATAAAAAAGCTTTCTGGTGGTTCACGTCAATTAGATTTACTTGCTAAAATATTGCCGGTTGCAATGATAGCATTAAGTTCTTCTTTACATGGGCAATAAATACTAAAAGCGAGACTATAGTGCAGCAAATCATCCCAAACTCATTTTTACAGCAAATTTAGTGTTGTCCAATGGAAATAAACTACTTTGTTGCTGTTGTTATTCTTGGTGTTACTGTGGTTGTTGTTCTTTTGATCGAGACAATAATTTTTTTTCATCATATTTTTGAAATTAAATAGATGGAATTTTATTCAAAACTCTATTGAGAAAGGAATTGTATACTTTCATAACTTGCTCTCAAACTGCAGGAAATCATAATAATAGACACCCTTAAATCATAGCGCCCTCTTGGTAAAACTGGGGTACAAGCAAAACACTTGAACATGAAAGACAACACGAAGTCATCTTGTTATAATATTTTTGAAAAAAGGTCTGTGTTACTTCATTGTAGGTGGTTGATATACATATATTTCCATGCTATCATTTACAAAACATTTACAAACATCTCTAGAGTGTTTAAGGCTGGACCGGGGGGGGGGGGGTCCAAAATTGTATGACCATCATGCATGAAGGTGGTGTTCAGGAAAACACAAAATGTTGGTGTCTAGACTGTGCTCAGCAACCTTCGAATGTGATGTCATCACTGATAGACAAAGTATACTCTGTTGCCTTTCAGTAGAAAAAAAAAAGGAAAGAAATCGACTTTGTCAGTCAACTTTTATTGGCAACTGTAAATATTATTCACATTAAATAACATTTTATTTACATTCTGTAATATTTCTTTTTGTGATTTTGTTGATATGTTTGTCGATTTTACATGAATTAAGGATATCGTGTTTATATGGATGATTGAATAGGTGGGTTGGGATGACAGGATATTTAGAGGTTATGGAGGAGATAGAGACATGGATCAAAGTAGAACAATTAACGAGGGGCGGGAATGGGGGGGGGGGGGGGAGAGAGAGAGAGAGAGAGAGAGAGAACCTCTCTCTCTCTCTCTCTCTCTCTCTCTCCCCCCCCCCCCATTGAATAATGTTACTATAGAATTTTACTTTTTTTTAAACTAAATCAGTTTTAATTGTACAAAATCCTGTTTGACTTTATAACAATTCCCAAGATGATGCACATTATATCGAATATTACAATGGCAAACTTTTACCCATGTTTTTTATGCGAAACTTATGTTATTTTTATGCAATATCATATTCTACATGTACCTTTTAGTAAATTGGCCCAAATACAAAATGTTCTGCATTTTACCTACAATGTATAATTTGTTTAAATCATTGTAGCATCTATTTGATTTTATAATTCCTGGATTTGGTTTCTGTTGTTGTCTCTGTTTCTGTTATTAAAGAAAACACCATAACCATACCATACCCATCTGGCTATGCATTTTCCAACCAAAACATTTAATTCTTTTGAATATAAAAAATGTATCACTATTCATATATTGTATAAGTTCAATGTATAATTTCATTGCAAATATGGTAATACAATTCAAATTTTTTGTATGTACACTCTAAAATCTGAAATGTTAAATGTAAATTTAAAAGGGCCGAGGAGTGACCACTCTTTTAAAATGTCAGATTGTTTCTTTTAACCTGCTAGATTCAACCTTTATAGTGTTGGATCCAGCATGTTCAAAGTGTTAATCTACCATTTTGAAAGAGTGGTCACTCCTTGGCTCTTTTAAATGGTGATTTAACATTTCAGTTTTTAGAGTGTATCAAGCAATTTGCCAAGGTCGTTGAAGCACAATTATGTACAAAAGAATTGCAATTTTACTACCATTATGCTACCATGCATAATTTTTTTACGTGTAATTTTACTTTGTCACTGATGTATACTTTGTAAAAACAACTGATTCGGCTCTCAGGCCGCGAATGTTTTTTTAATGAAATAAACCATTTTAAATAAATAAATAAATAAATCGTTCTGGCTGGCTAAGTGACGGAACTTAAAAGAGTATCCACAGGCTATAGAGATAATAAGGATTTTATAGATTGGCTTTCTTAGCTTTTCTCAAGTATAATTTGTACACGCAAGCAAATTAGAGCATTTTCAGATCCCTTTTTAATCCCATATAGTTTGTGTTCACTACTTACAAGACCCATACTAGAACGTGTCGTCATGAGATAGTTGTAAAAGCTTAAAATAGAAATAGAAGAAAATGTCTCTACATTTAATTAAAAGTGAGCTATAATTGATGACTTATATATAAGTATATGAAGCAAATAGATCGAAATAAAAGCTTTCGGCGGTAGACCCAAATGAACGAAACGTTATCTAATTTTACTCTCAATTCATTATATATATATATATATATATATATATATAAGTGCGTGATTTCTATTCCTCCCCCCTCTCACATGACTTTTTGTTATACCTTATATCTAGTTTAGGGAACGAAATAGAGAACGAGGGGCTGATAATATCGAAATGAGAAGAATATTACTGTAAATCTCTGTTAATTCAAACTGATAAATAAAAATAAAAAATTATTATGCTATATTGACGGTATATACGTCGGATATTATACTTAAGCCAAACTATATAAACAAACAAAAAAGAGAAAAACTAAAGAAAAAATATGAGCGGGGGGGGGGGGGGGGAGTCGGTGAGAAAATTATCATAATAATAAATACAGTACAGACTACGTCCAACTTTCTATCTCCCGCCACCCCCTCTCTCCCTCTCTCTCCCTCTCTCTCCCTCTCTCTCTCTCTCTATGTCCATCTTCATCTTTCATAATGTTGTCTATTCCGCCATTTGCTTGTATGCGGGCATCATCCCTTCCTTGAGATTAATTATTATAACATATTACTGATTCGGACATTATGCTTTAGCGAAAAAATATAATCAAACCAAAAGAGACAAACTAAAGAACAAAATCAGAGCCGGGGGGGGGGGGGGGTGATCGGAGGGGAGACAAATATCATAACAATTAATACAGTAGGGTCTATACAGGCTACGTCCAACTTTCTACCCCCCCCCCCTCTCACATATACCTTTTATTTAGTTTAGGAAACAAATAATAGAGAACCAGTGGCTGATAATGTCGAAATGAGAAGAACTTACTGTACAATTATAAAAAGTAAAAACCTTTGAATGTAAATCTCTGTTGCATCAAAATAAAATGAAACGTTTATCACATTATACTTTAGCACAAAATAGATATCTAAAAGAAGGTGGACAACATTATATTAAATAACCTGCTTCTGACCGCTGCGCTAGCGTACTGCCTTTCTACGTAGGGGGCGACTGTGTATATAGGGGGCGACTGTGTATAGGAGGCGACTGTGTATAGGAGGCGACTCGACCACACAATTTGGGGGCGACTACGTTAGGAGGCGACTGTGTATAGGGAGGCGACTGCGTATAGGAGGCGACCGGCTTGGGGGCGACCTGACCAGACACCAAGTGGTCCCCGCCCCACGCCGCAAACATGGTATAGTCATGAGGTGGAACTCCCTACCCCCCCCCCCCCCTCCCCTTCTTGGTGATGAGAGATTCAGGAGGAAACGATCGAGGTATTTCGATTTATTAATTCTTTTTCTTAAATTTATCCCGACTTGTACATTTTTATAAACTGAAACTAAACAGAACATGGAAAGCTTCTTTAATAATTATCTGAAAGTAAGTTTGTTTATGAGATCGGTCACTGACCCCTGACCCTGCACAGTACCAGTACAGTACAGACGTGCGAGCGACAGATCGACCGACGCGGTGAGATTCACCAATAATAACAGTCGATTGGTCGTCACGTGGTCACCGTCAAAAGGCGCGCCAGATTTGCTCTAGCGCGCGAAACCGCGAAATGCACACAACATGTACGTAACGTAAGCAACGCATAGCAAATTAGCGTCGCGTACTGTAATTGTGAGTGATGCGCTTTCTTCAGCAAGTGATTCCAGTACGTATGTCTCGATTTCTGGAGGCATTTAGATACGTTTCGAAGCAATTTTCCAGTGTTTTTGGGCAAGAAGAACATAGATCTACATCTGCACCGACAGAAATGTATGAGCAGGAGCAACAACATTTCGAAAGCAGGTAAGTGTTGATCCCCAATTTCTAGACTCGATCTAGTAGAATAGCCTGGTCCACGTCCAGCGGCGAGGCCTGCCTGGTCATTTAAAAATTAAAGAGCTGACCGGACCAGCGCGGCGCGGGATAGACTCTATCCTTTCATCTGATCTCATCTGTTCACGGGCCGTTTTAATGGAATGCCAATGAGACATGTGCCATGTAGCCAAGACTGGCAAGAAAATAAGAAATTGACTAGGCCTAATATTTGTGTTATTATTTATTGAATTGATTGATTGATTCCGTGCAGCATGCAGGTATTTTGCCAGTATTGTCATGTAGATTGTCTAGAGTCTAGGTCTAGTTGGTGGAGTCTAGGTCTAACGTAGTTGGTGGACTCTTCTTTCTTCTCATACAAAGCACTTTGAAATCAGTCAAGACTTTAACCAAAATGTTAAAGTTTGATACCCAGAGTGATTTGCTAATTTTGCTTACCTTTCACGTGTTCCTAACCTAATGATAATGAATGCGCTAGATTTTTTTCTAGATCCGTCTACATTTCTAGAACTAGATCTATTCCAGACTAGTCTAGGCTACACGAGATGTAGACCGAATTTTAAAGAGAGAGCCGACCTACCCAAATCAGAGGCTAACGAATGAAAGAGACAGAAAAATTCGGTCTAGATCTAGGTCTACACGAAGAAAAACACCATGTTTCCGATAACAAACTTTCTCATTTTTTACGCTTCCTTTCACCCACAAGCGATTCGTTCAGTATTACTAAGGCGCATGCATCGACTTCGCTGTAATAAGCGAACTTCCTGCAAGGCAGTAGATCTATATGCGTGCCTTTTTACTTTAGTCGCCATTATTAATGGTGACTAAAGTCGGTGTAAAAAATGAGAAAGTTTATTGTTGGAATAATACAGCTTTGCTTACCTCCCAGGCCAGGCAGGCTTCCATGTGTTCCTAAGTAATGATAATGAGCTCAGATGTGAGTTACATTACGAAAACACTGACCTCTCATAAGAGTTTGCCTCTTCGCAATGTTGATTCCGCTGGAAACGCAAATAAGTTGTTGTTGTTGTGATTAATGGCGTTTCCATCGTCGTTTACATACGATGTACAGTATATAGATCTATGGCTGAATTTGAATTTGCTGCTTTGCCAATTTGATACTTGCTTCACGACAATAGTGATTAGTGTAAACAGGCACGCCTGGAGTGCTGCTAAATTCAGCATACTCCTAGACCGTGCCTATGTACACTAAATCAATTGTTTTTGTATAATAAGCATCAAATTGGCAATGTATACTTTTGCATTCAAAATAATGAATCCTTTTTCATTTTCAGAATTATAAACCCCTTTTCTGTCAATGCATGAAATGGAATGGTGGTCATTCAATAAGCATGGATGTTTTTCATTGTTATTACTTCATTGCCCAGAATCGTTCAGATCGCTCTTTACTTCATGTCCGAACAAAAATATCCAATGGAAAGTCTAAACTATAACAAGAAAAAAAAAAAGGAAGCACAAGATGATGAGAAAGTTAGTGAATTTTAATTGTCTAATGTGTGTTCTGTTCATAAGTTGTTTTGGATCGCTGTTACACTATTTTAGATCCATCATCCAAGTCGTACCTACACCTCTAGACTATATTTTTTCTCTCCAATTTCATACAGGATTGAATGTGGCATCTGCTTACAGCCACGCCTTAAGATGGTGACTGGAAAATGTCAGCATAGGTTCTGCGTTGGATGCATGTATGACAGCAAAGAAACGAGAAGGGAAGGAATGAAGAAATGTCCGTCCTGTCAACAGGATTCTGCGTTTCCAACTGTCAGGTAAGGGTCAGACAGAGTAGGAGGCACAATGGTTCAGTGTTCAGGAGATCCTGAGTTAAAAACCAAGACGCTGCCCAGTGCCCTTTGGTAATGATTTAATCGTTATGACCAAGTCACTTGGACAGCATGTACTGTATGCTCCACTGGTTACTTGCTTAAAAGCGTCCATTTGCTTCCTTACCATTTAGGTAAAACACATGTAAACCATCACCATCAAAGTAAGTTTACTTTCGTGTGACCAAAACCATGAGGTACATTCCGCATATGAAACTACGAACAAAAAATGTCATAAATTATCCCAAAATATCTCCACTTTAAACCAATCAGAATTCCTTTATTAGCACTTTAAATATTATCTTTGTGTTTCTATTTATTCTGTTGGATGTCATTTGCCCTTTTCTGACATGATCTAGCTCTATGTATTTTATAAATTTGATTAATCGCAGAAAGAAGTTGATACATGGAGTAATTTTCTTCCTTTTTGTTTTTAGACCTGTGATTCCTGAAGACTTGATTGAAATCCAGAGGGCGCTAGGAGTACGTAAATGTGAGAGGTGCGGAGATGAGATGTGGATCAGAGAGCTTCTTGATCACCAGAGGTAAGTTTGAAGGAAAAAAATGATTATGTGGATGATCCAATCCACAGAGAATTTGGTATAGCTTCTTTTTCCTTGCATTTACCAAGTGCCTCACAATTTGCTCTACCATATAGAACAATTATAACCAATATAGACGTGTAACAGGATAACAGCCCATGCTGTCTAACAAAATGAGTGGAGCATTAAAAAAATTCTTGACCTGGTCCACAGATGTAGTAGTCTTGTTCCACACCTCGCAGCATCTGAAGGAAAAGGAATGTCTCAACACGTTTCTTGGAAATGGGCTGAGACAACTACAGAAGATGAAGAGCTAGTGTGCCTAGTTTGAGTGCAACAAACCAGGCAATCCCCCCCCCCTCCAACTTGAAATTTATTGTTATGTAAAGGAGATGAAATATCTAATGATTGGCCAACTACAACTATTCAGTTAGCTTAAACGTTTGCCTCATTTTATCTTCTTTTTAATGGAAGGCTCTATTGGTAATAAGTTTCTGTGATAAGCCTGATTAAAACCTGTTTCAACTTGATATCCAAATGATTGGGAGATATTAAATGACCACAGGCATACCAATACGATATCAATTGTATGATTTTGTATACCGTAGTCTTTGTAATATTATATACCTTGATTGAAATTGAGAGAAATCTGCTCCTGAAATAAGTAGTTTGAAATAGTTTGTCCAAATTATAGCATTCCACAACCTGCTGAACAATTTTAGAAGGGGGGGGGGGGTGGTTTCACTTGAAATGAGTTCTGTAACATACCCAAACACCATTGACCTGTGTGACAGTTGTTGGAACCTTCCTCATGCATGTAGGAAGTGGCATGCTGAAGCTAGCTGTCTGTTTTGGGATTATCTTGTTTTTCTGATTTTAAAATCAGTAGTGTAGGATATTTAATCTCAAGAGCATGCTATTACCTGTAAGACTTTAGAATGTCCTGCTACATTAATGATATGGATCTTTAACAGCTTGATCGCTATACTTTAGCTGAAGTAATTTTTTTTCTCCTCTCAATAGTTCATGTAGTAAACATTATCCTTGTTGGTTTATTTAAAGTTTGATTAAAAAATATATCTACCTGTATATATAATTTAATCATAGAAAATGCAAGAATATATGAATGCCAGATGTATTCCTTTTCTTTGATAAAGTTATTTTTGTTTATGTTTACAGAACCTGTGTTGAATCCCCACTTCCTACCGCTGACAGTGGCAATAGAAGATGCAAAAAGACTCCCAACTCGTGTAAACGTGACGGTCGTGTTCAGAAGCGTTCCCATTCATCCAAGAAGGGATACGAGGTCAAGAAGTTGTTGGATGACCTTGGGTCGGGGCCAGGGGTCACGACACGGAGCAGCAGAAGTCCCTGTATGCTTGCCCTAACGGGAGGGATGTCTGAGCGTTCACGGAGAGCTGCGAGAAAAGAAAAACAGAAAACATGAAGATTAGATAGTTTAGTCGACTCTTTAAAACAAATTGAAGTTGCATTGAACAGTGGATTGTCAAACTGCACTATGCATTGATTAATCTACAGAACTGCTGCATCAAATCATTTGGTTGGCAATGTGCTTGTGCTGAGAACTGAGATTCTGCCTATCTCTCTTTTTTCAATTGGTTTAGTACCTGATGTACATTTTTCTCACAGATTATTATAGATATAGTTTTACATATATATATATATATATATATAATGAGTGATGTTGTATTGTATCTGCACATGGTTTTGTGCAAGTTGTTGTCGACTGAAATTGTGTTCAGATTAGTACAGTCGTAACTGCTAAAAAAATTAACAGTAAATAATACAGTCAATGGACCGTACCATAAACAGGGGCAATTGCTTGTGCTAGCCTTTTGCTTGAATTTGTATGCATAAAAATATGCAAAATTTTGAAGCAAAAGCTGTTGCTAGTAGGAAGAAGCTAGTTAAAGATCGAGCAATTGCTTAAAACATGTGCATAACACAAACCGTTTGCTTGTTCTTGTAAGCAATTGTTTATGTTTTTTCAAGCTCCGTCATACCAGCTTGAGCTCTTGCTTAATCAGGATGTTCACATTTAAGCATTGTGTTCATGCTCATAAGAAGAGCAAAACCAAAGTTATACAGTATGCCCCTGAGACCTAACAGAAACTATTTCATATGGACAAGTAGAACGTTGCATAGTAGCGGCAAACGATGGAATCACAACAAATTTTTTTGATAATTTTGGCCGTCTGCGGTCGATAGTGGATTCGTCCGCGACAATTGAAGGCAACACACATATGATTGGTTGGAATTCAATATTGCAATTCGCAGCTTAATGTAGCTTGCGTGTGATTCATGCCTGAACATAATGAAACGGGAGGATGTCCGACACATGTAGAGAGCATAGAGGCCAGTACTATACGAAACCTGCCTTTGTTCTCCCATGAATGGTGTTCACACTGGCTTGACGTACCGGGTAGTTATTTTTAACCATTAAGCAATTGCTTGCTGAAGGCAGGGAAAAGGTTTGAGCTACTTTTTATGCAGTGTCATCGGCCTTTGTGCCTTTTGTATCTTATGATATTTGTATCTTATGACTTTCTGAACAGACTATCAGGTACGAATAAAGGTTCTGGAAATTATGAAGTGTTACATGTTTCTGGTAAATTACCAATTTTTATTTATCATGTTGGTATTCTGAAAACCAATTGATCTTTCATTGCATGGAAAGTATGCATAGGCCCCACGTTCTTGAGTTGAAACTTGAGGGCCGTTATGCATGGGACCGCTGTTCGTGTCAAGCCCTGATAAAGAGTAACACTTTCTGGCAACTTATTTTTATTTTTTGATCCTTTCAGTGGTCTGGCAGTCTCTTTTTGGTTGCTGTGGGACCTCGAGTCACCATTAATATCAAGCTATGCATTATTGATCACATATATCCGATTGACGATATCTAATCATAACCCTACAAGATTACTCTATGGTGCTAGTCCTTTGATTGCCTGTTTGGAAACAATCTTGCATGTTAACCTTCTAGTAAAGAGTAGAGTTAGGTCAAAACAAGTGAATACATTCGTAATTTCTTGTCCTAATTTTCTACGAACTAGACTAATTAGGCGAGAGCTTGTTGGAGTTGTTCCAATTGCATTGTTTGAAAATAATTTCTTCACTTGACCTTTTTGAAGAGTACTTAAAGAAAAAAGGTGTAGAGCTTCATATATTGTTCAATGTTTGTTTATGGCTTCAGAAAAGTTAAGAAACACTCCCTTGATTGCGTTACATGTTCAAGAAAATATCTTAATTATGGTGTTTTGATGTTTGTTGTTATGTTTGTAAAAATGTTATTGATCTTCAATTCTACATGTATTTTCTTGATTACCTGGGTACGTTTTGTTTTGTGGATTGGTGAATATGCAGTACAGACATGGATATCCATGTTTATTATTTGTCTTAGCCATGCAACACATTTTGTCAGAGATCTTCTTCATCCCTTAAACCAAAACTGCAGTGGTATTAGCCTCCTTTTCAGTTTCTGAAAATTCTTGTATTATTTTGGTATGAATATTTAATATTCCTTTCAGTTATAATGAAACCTTTTTTTAATGAATATTATGGTTGACAAATCTATAATGTAGTGTTCTATCCATTTAATTGTGATATTTATTACTTATTTAAATAATTTTGTTAAAATTTGAATTTTCATTTTGAATTAATTTGTTTATTTAATTCTGTATTTTCGATCGAACAGTTCATAGCTTATTTAAATAGCTGGATGTTTCTCCTAAGCATCCTCAGATAAGGAATCAGAATATCCTAGTATGTATGATAATATTTTAAAGTTTTTAATCTGCCTGGCATTTTTTAATGATTTTCTTTCTCATACGGGACAAGCCTGCTGCAAACTGGTCAGTTAAAAAGCAGTTTTTATTAAAAGTATACATCCAATTCTAATACCTTGGTAAACTAGTTTATATATCAGATAATCTAGGTAAATATGCTGTTGAATCCTGTTATCACAAAAGTCATTGTATTGAATGCATAACCATCCCTTACATATTTTTTTTAATTCCTGTATATTACCCAAACAAAAATATTGTGGCAATGCACATAGTTGCATGAATCTCATTACAACAGAATTTTTACTCATAAGCTCGATGTTGTGTTTGGTCTTGTTAATTTACCAGTGTAATAAAAAATGTACTCTTTGCAAGTGTGTGAAAGAATGACACGCACATAAACAGATTATGATATACTTTGTTACTTTATTAGTATTCTCTGTATGCACAGCTAGTAATTTACATGTCTTTGTTTTGTAAACATCAAAATATTCTTTGTTTCAGTGGTATACTTCAAATTACAAAACAAATATTAAAACTTTGCAAATAACTATACATTAATAGTCAATGTTATCTTTACAAATGCTTTCAGTAGAGACATAAAGATGCAATATCTTCTGTTCGCCCATGTTTGAGGTGGGGGTAGTCATAGACGTAAATTTCTTAGAATTAAGACTTGAAAACAAAAGAATGAGCAAACCATAACGTTGAGAGTTGTAGTTGTGATAAATGTGATAAAAAATGGCCACCAAATGGGCAAGTGAATGCCACAACAAGGGTAACTGAATTGAGCGTCGGGTCGATAGATCATAAATCTTTCTTTTTTCTTCAATGAATCATTTCTGATGTTTACCTTTAACTTAGACAATTAAGCTGCTTCCATGTTGTTAACATTCGCTTCAGAAGAACAACACCTTAGGAGCAGGGAAACATAAACCTCCTCCATATGAGTTGCTCAAATGTCAATACCCCTCGTCCATACCCATCCACCCCCTAAGATTATACGATGAAAGAGCTGTAATCCCAAGGATGAGCTTTATTTCTAGCAATCGAGTTCAGTTATACTTAAATTAACCTCATATGGTATCGGGGAAAAGAGAATGATGAAGGCCTTATGTGACTAGAAGAGTTGGGACACACAAAAGTGGATTTATTTGGTTATGTTCACATTGTAATCTGCCCCTGCAGCATAATAATAGGCGTGGCTCCGAGAGTACAGACTTGTTTGCAAACAAGGAATATGCACTATAAACCACACATAGATGTAATGGCACAAGGTACCATACATAGACGATAGAACTTGCTATCAATGATACAATTCATACATGTACATAAGGTTGTTGAGCTGATTCCATGAGTATGCATGCTTTAGTGGAAGAAGTTGTTGGAATGTTTGTGAAAAAAAGAACCCTCTGGATATCAACATTGAATTTATCACTCAAGTTATACTCCTCTATCTCATATAGCCGATTATCATTTCTGTCATAATCAAACTCTTCTTTTCATATGTTCTACTGTAATCTGGGCAAGAATCCCATACCAAAATAAAGATTTGATTTTTAGGCATCGGAGTGAACGATTAACAGACACAAGACTGTGTGCCTTTAATCTCAGACCCGTCAAAATATAGAGTATTCCTGCCTTATTAAACTCACTGACCACTGTATTCTCTCGTTCCCATAAGCTTACTACATTAGCCATCCACTTCTTTTTGGTAATAGTCTCAAAATTTTTATAATTGTTATATCTTTGAAGATTAGTTAGATTAAAAAGAAATCCACAATTACTATTTGGCATGAAACACATGAGTGCTCACAAGATGGAGACTGAAATTTCACTTGTAAATCTAGATTTAGATATCTTGAATGATTCTTTGCAATGAACCTCTTTCATTAACAAATTCTCACTGTCATTGAGCAATACGAAACATTATGCTTAACATGATACAAGCAAACCAGGACCTGAAATACTAGTATTCCCTTGTTCATTTTCATTTTTTGTTATAAAAACAATGTGCACAATGATGAAAGAGCCCTAATACTTGATATAAATGTCAACTTATACACAACGTACAATCAAAGTCACATTTCACACTAAGTTCACACACTCTAAAAGTCATAAAAGTGCACATCTTTCATTTCCCTTACATTTATCAGGATTAATTAAACAAGTTAATTTTCTTCCACGTATGTATAGCGATGAGTGCACAACAATAATAATGTGAAACTGGCCTTGCAATTATTGTGTGCATCATTGTGATATAATCAACTGTTTTATTATGTACATAACTTTGACTTTACCATCCAATGCCCAAGTAACTGGATTTATATCCTTAAGATGCTTGTATACAACTGACAAAGTACAAGTTTTGGTCACATGATCACAGGGACCATGAGGGGTGTTTTATCAACAACATATCTGGAAACAAACCAACATTTTTATACATGGACCAACTCCCTCTCACGTTGGGTTCCTAAAAGTGAATAAACTGTCTTTGCATCATTTGCACGCACAAAAACACGATTTTTATATCAAAAGTAAGTCAAGCTGTTTCCTAGACTTGACACATTCTTTGGTCCTATATTACTTTTGGAGTAAAGATAGGCTGAAATGCTGGTAAAGGGTACACAGAAGGTTATATGTGGTAAACTTGTCTAGTCATTAAAAATGCAATAAACATCAAATTTGCTCTTTCAACAAATACTTGATACGGTTTTATTTTCAAGACAGTCATAGGGCGACTAGCTAGATAAGCTAAGATAATGTACCTCTTCTTTGGCTCAATATTACAGTCATTTCACATATTGTCTTCAAGTACTCTCCTTTATCAGAATCTTTTTGATGATTGTAACACATATATTGATCTTAGAAATGTTTATTTTTTCATCCAGAACTACAAACTACTTGTTACCACAACACTGAGTGTCATATGGCAATGTCACATGGCACGGCCTATTGAATCATTATAGTTTGCTCTCAATGTATATCTAGTGCAAGGTGATTTCATCTTTCTTTCCTTTCAAAACAATCAGCAAAAGGAATGCAATGCTGCTTAAATTTATTTTTTCTTCTTTTTATATTTATGTAATCAATAGGCACCATAATACTCTTTCTTGATCCACTCTATGACACCTCCATAAGGTCATATTAACAAATGCAATATACATGTACGCTAGCTTTGCACAACATTGATTTGTTTCAGACAAAACAATTAATGTTTACATCAATCAATTTCAATCAAGACAAAAAGCATTTTCCATTGTTCTAAATTGCATAAAAATTCTTTACAAAAGTGTACTGCTCTAACTTACACGTCTAGAGCTATAAAGCACTGCTTCTCTTTTAATAATGATATCTTAAAGCGATAGATAATGATTCTCTGGCTGGAGGCTCAATTTGAAAGCTACTCAAATAATACTGCAATGAAATATTCAACACAAATTTGTCTTTACATGACGTTCACAATGTAAGTTGCCATGGTTACATGACCACATCTACAAAAATAGCTCATCAGCATTCTTATATGTCATAATGCTATATTCATTTATACATCATAATCTTAAAATACATTTTTCTTGAAAGTACGTACAGTAAAAAAATTAATTTTATATGCTTGATTAAAGTACTAGTTAGTCACGCCATTCTTGAGTTCCCTTTCAACATGTATATTTCAATTTTGTTGCACCGATCAAAAAAAATAAAAAGCTTTAGAAGGAGTGGAGATGATATCAATTTCTGTCTCTTCTTTTACAGCCACAAAGTGATCTACCTAAAGCATATAAATGAGAGGTCTTAAGGAGTTTTCTCTCTCTCTCTCTTTTTCAATTCTATATCTATCTCTCCATTTTTTCAGCTCTCTCTTCCATTGGCAAAAACATGTGTATATTCCATCTACAATTTGGAAAACAAACTGCATCAAAATTTCCATGTTTTGGTGTCTTGCGCTGTAAAGTAATTAAATTACAAATATACCTCTGTCAAATTTACTCATTTACAATAATGATTTCACTGTGCAACAAATCTATTTCTTTCCGTTTCCCTCATGCATTTTCTATGAAAGGGATTTCAAGTGCTGTGTTGAGGTCTAGTGACAATGTTGGTTCTAAACTTACTCTAGCAAGAACCAACTTGATATTGAGCTCCAAAGTAAGGAGCAAAATACCCTAAGCTAGCTAAGAGAGCAATAAAACTCACCACCTGCTAATCGAAGCTCTACTTTTTAAGTGCTCAAATGCTCTCACATTAAAACTCATCATCAACCTAGAACTTGAAATTCCTGATAGCTCATACATTAACCCTCTTTCTAGTCCATTAAATACTTTTCAATTACTTCTATCTCTTTCAATAAAGCTTGAATTAAACTTTGATTTGGTTGTCTTCATTGGCCCTCTCTCACTCTCTCTCTCTCTCTCTCCTAAGGTCTCATAGCAGTCAGTGTTCGTCATGCCGGCAGAGCGTCTTTTATTGACTGTGGTACTTTGGAGAGGTAAAAGTCGTGAGCTCGATATGCGGCGATGACGCCCCCGGTGTTCATGCGCTTGATGTCCTTTTCATAGCGATATCGGTTACCATGGACATCAGTCAAAAGACCTGTGTGAACAAGAATCATTAGATATTCATTTCAATCATACAGTAACCAGCAACAATAGTACAAACAAGCAAGAACACTACAAATATATCAAATACATGCATATTGTTGATGTTGTTGATTAATTGTTTTATGGAGCCTGTAATTCAGTTTTGAATATTCATGCAAAAATTTTGCTTTGTGGAATATCAATTTGAATGAATTGAATTTTAAGTCACATTCAAAATATCATTGTTTGTGCTCATATATATTACTCAATTTTGGGGAGGTTCATGTCGAGGTCTCAACAAAGATCACTGTCCATTTGTCCTATAGCATCACGTTATATTAGTTTCGTCTTATGTAAAACAACATGATGGAACATATGCTATTTCACTTCATCTTACAATATCAACTGGTACAAATGGGAGGGGGGGGGGGAGTCAGATAAAACTTAGGGGAAAATGTTATTAAAGAATGCAGAGGTAGTACTGCCTTTTAACATGTAGAACTCTGATATCCCTATTGAACATGATATAAAACAATAATCATGGAATACATATGAAAAGGGTGTGAGAATACATTCTACTATGCCCCGGCCCACTCAAGAATGTAATTTCATCACCAATATATTTCAAGTATCTGAATTATTTGGACCTCGTGGAATTACGGATTATGGAAGGGTGTTTAAGCATACCTCCTGCAGCTTTAAGAAGAGCTTCTGGTGCACATGTATCCCACTTCTTGCATCCAGGACTGGCAAAGATGTATGCACTGGCTGTGCCTTCAAGACAGAGCAACACCTAACGTGACAAAAAATGGAGATAGGTATTGCCAACATTAACACTACTCTTGATTTGTGTAATTGAGGGTAGTAAAAACTTAAAAAACTTAAATCTTAAAGCAAATATGAATTGTTTATCATATAGCTTATAAGTTATTTAGATCAGCAATTTTTAAATCATATTTACAATACTTGCATAAGAAATGAAATCATAGAGTCACCTACACAGATATACACATATATTGAACTAAACTATTTTTTGCAGCTCAACCTACCCCCTAGTGGTTCTACCAACATCAATTCAGGCACTCTTCCATTTTCTGGGAACTTCTGGGAGATATCCTTCATCTCCCTAATAATAGTTTATGTGAATAATTATGTTTTCATGCTCCATTAATCTCTTAATCTATGGACCAGATTCACTACAACTTCATGGATGTTTCTTTGTAAAAATTGCCCCATGCGATGAAGTATTCAATTCACATCTACTGATATGGATGACTGCATCTCTATGGATAGAATGGACATTGCACAGCTTAGTTTTTCTATATCAGGCCACCTCTGGGTATTAACATTGACAAAAGACCTTAGTTTGAGAAGTATGGATAGAATTCAAATATTGCTCAATCATGGCTAACAATGAGATAGGTACCTTATGCCCAGCGCCACCCACTCTAAGAATCTCTGTCGGACACATGGCATCGATAGTTTCCTGAACAGCCTCGGTGCCATGAGACCTCGTGGTGGTGATCACCCTCTGGGACTCTGGTAACTCTTTATGGGTAAAACCAAAGCACCCTAGTCCGACCACACCCCACATGGTGCGCCCCATCTTGGCATCAGCCACCTGGTAGTTGTAGTATGGCTGGTGGATGACGCCCCCTACTGACTCCCCATTCACGGCCACACCGATCAGTACTGTCACATGGTCAAGGAATCCTATTAACAAACAAAGCAATTAAACAAATATTATTATACTGAGCCGACACTTACAAGCAGCATCTATTATACTGAGGTTATAAGAAAGTCAGAACCACCAAAAGAAACAAGGACATCCTCGCAATACATAAGGCAAATTACAAGAACATACCGGTACTATAAATGAGAAGTCAATGACATCTCCATCACATGACTGTTTGGCAATTTGTGATTCCCATTTACCATGATCTGACATTCAAATATACAAGCTTTTGACTGGGTTTTGTTTGTCAACTTACAAAGCAATATGGAATGGCTATGATTGTATGGCTATTCTTCTCTAATTCAATTGTGAATAAATTGTCTGTTTGTTTCACTCAACTTAGACCAAAATTAAAAGTAATTAGCTGCCGACTACGGGTATACAAAAAATTCAGAAACTGAAACAAAACTGACAATGAATCTAGTAGTCCAGACCTCAATACTCCACAATCTTTCATACATGTATGTGAGAGAGTGTGTTTCGTTAAGTTTTGTTGAACTCCATGATGGAAGCATAATATAAACTTGATGTATATTGATTATTTACCTTGTGTGTATTCTTTGGTTCCGTCTACAGGGTCTACCCACACAACGATCTGTAGGGAAATAAGAATATTAAGAAGAATGATGCAGAATGATTATTACAACATCAGCAACAAAAAAAATAACAATACCAACAATAAAATAATACTACCACTACTACTACTTCTACTACTACTACTTCTACTACTTCTACTACTAATACTACCTCTACTACTACTACTGATGATGGTGATGATGATTAATAATATTAATAATAATTATATCATAATGAAAAGATAATACTTATTTTCAACGACTAAAAACTAGCTGATAAACTAATAACTCAAACCATCTTGTTTATTACAATTACATGTAGTTTGCTTATAAAATGAATCCTGCAAGAAATATTCTTATCAGAATCTACTACAAACATACAAGGGAGTCAAGTCCATTCTAAATAAGGCTGTAACCCGTTCAAAAATTCTGGTGAACGAGGATTTGCTACTTACATCAGCGAGTGAGACAGACTTGAGAGTATCAGGACAAGGCCTATGAAGAACATCCTCAGAATCTCCCAACTCTATCAGATCAGTTACACTCTCAGTAAGATCCTAGTAGAAATAAGAAGAGAAATGTTAAAAGAGGGAGGCAAACTATAGAAAGTTTTTTTTATAAATAATATATATGGGTATATATATTTAAAGATGATCAATATACATTTTATTATTCTGCAATATATTTTTAAAAAAAAAAGAAAAAGGAAGAAAGAGATGCTACAGATATTATACTTTTCCCTTGAACACAAATTAGAAACAAGTATGCATTATGCAAATGACTTCTGAGTTGCAAATAAGATGACTTATTTCTTTTAAGCTACACACACATGCACAAGAAGCATCCATTAACCCTTCAATAACTGAAGAAAGAAAGCAATGATTAAACAAGATTAAGAACAAGAAAATAGAATAATTACAAGTATCATATGCCAGCTTGCTTATAGCGTACATGTGTGAATTTATATTGTTTATATGTCAGCTACATGTACATCTACCGTAGTTCAATATAGCCTTACATTCAACAAACAGGCAAAAAAGATTATAGCTTTTATATTTTGTTCATGTTGGATCCTCACTCAGTTCATAGCACTGATCATGAAGAGGTTACGCATAATGTGGAATGTCTACTTCTCTTCAACTGGACATATAACGGAGTAGAAAAGAAGATGGATTCCTGCGGATGGAGCGCATGCACATTTCTGAGTGGAGTGCTCCTAGCTTCTATAAATAGACCCATCTCCTAGGCAGGTCACCTAGTAATTCTTCATCAGCACCATACCATTAGTACACATTTACAACTGGCTACACCTCTCTTTGCATACCTTGTGTTGTGTAAAAAAAAAAACCCTTGCACATATGCATGTTACTCTGATAGACAGCAAGACTGCAGTTACAAGTAGCCTTACATTCCACAGGTACATGTGTACCGGTATATGAAAAGGCCTTCACTTTAATGGTGCCACATTGTGCTGGCAGACTTATAAAAGTAAAATATATGAAGACCTCTGAACTATGCTTGATAAATGTGACTATTCTTTAACATATAGAATTGTCTGCCACGGCCAATCCTAACGTAGCATGTAGAGGAAAGCTTAAGAACTAAAAGGAAACTTTGGAAGAACAGGATACATGTAGTTTATAATGTTATCTAATTTAAAGATTTATTATTTACCGGTAATTATCAATTACAATACTAAGTACAATGGCTGCCCAGATGACTTTGGTATTTCTGGGTATACTTTATAATTTGGTCTATTTTCAAGAGTAACATGATATTTTGAATGTAATTTTTTAAATACAGTACCGGTATATAGGATTTTATAAGCTTATTCCACATATCACTTTGGTTACATTAAAGTACCTGTAGTTTGGAGGACCAGGCAAAAAAAACAGAAAAATAATGACAGAAAAACTCCATGAGATGGTTATGAGCTCTACTTGTAACACAAATAAGCACACTAGGTATGAGGTGCAAATTGCATTGTCACATCCACACCATGTACAGAGGAACCTGTAGGCTACCGGTGGCATGCACCAGCAATACACAAAATAGTTTGTTGACACACACTTAGCACGGCTTCACATGGAAATGTGTCGGTTCAAACCGATTGGATGTTGCCGAGGAGTTCCAACTAGAAATTCTAATGAGGTCTTTAGGAGCCTACCACTCCAACTTCATTTGAATTCAGGCTATCATCTACATGTGTATGGGTCTATCAAGGCCTCAATAGAAGCTATTTTTAACCCTACAAAGTGGTGGGAAAGAACATTCTATTTCCATCTCGTAAATGGCTTCGACATTCCCGGCTATTCCAGCTATCTTTCAACAAATGGCAATCTTGTATGATGGCGAATTTCCAGATGTGGTAAATTGCATGAGAACTAGTGGTTAATTCAATTGAATGTACAGATGAAATCATCATATTACCAATTTGCCATCAATAAATTGATGTAGTGTATGGACAAGGAAAGAACAGCAAATAAGTTTGGATGACAAGACACATATCATGAAATCATATCTTTTTTAATCGTTACAGATTTGACAGGTCACGTGAACATTAAAAAGGCAGGCCAGATCTCAGGTAGATGGGAATACATTCAAAAGGTTCAAATATCTTTCTTTTTTTTTTCTTCTTCATAACTTGAAAAAGTTATTTAATTTCTTCTCCAGTGAGTTAGAGTGCAGAGCATTTACTCATCCATGTCTTTCCGACTCAGATGAATTCAACCACTGAAGACGAGATATTGTTGTGAAAAACTTTACCAAAGCTTAAATTTTTATCACTTTAGGATGTGTGTGAACAAGTGATTTTGTTCAGACATTTTACTACGTTATTAGGTAATTTCATGTGTACCAAGCAGACAGGCGCAAATAGACATGGCAAGCTAATATACATTACGAAACAGCATTTAAAAGTTTGATGTATTTCAGTACATACATGTACAATGAGTTAACATTGATAAATTTTTAAACTGAGCTACATGTATATCATTTCCTTATTCTTTATTTACAAAACAGAATAATTTGAAGAAGGTTTAATTCATGCCCCCTCTGCCTGTCAGGTATGGATATGTTTCTAAATTGTGGTTACTGTAAACTCAGAAAACAAGTACACAAGAAAAGCCAGAAACTTGCCAATGCTCAGACTCGTTAAGTTTTCATGCCGTGAATGTCATAACGCTAAATTTATGGAACTTCCTAAAATGTTATGACATGAAAAGAAAACCCCTGTCATTAACATTCTGTCCATTTGATTTGTTTTCTGACTTGACAGTGACCTCTTTCTAATTCATGACACACACTAACTTACTCACCTCCTCGCCTATGACGGTGATACCAGGGAAGCGGGTCTGGAGAGATGATACGATGCAGCGTTGAGCCTTACGGTCAGCTTCTGTCTGAGGATCATCTTCTCGCTGTAAACAAACAAATTAGGAAACTAATTCAAGAAAAGAAATATTGTAATCCTTTTATAAGCATCGTTCTACTCTAAGAATACACGTATGTGCTTAAAGGGCTCAATGACTTGATCCATGTATGACGACTTCAACAGAACATTTAAATATATTTGGAGGTTAATTTTGTTTTGTAACCTGCGACTAGCAAGCAAGAATTAAACAAATCTTTCAGCGCATGTATGCAAACATTACCTTTTCATGGAATAAACAAACAAACACTAAAATCAAATCTAAAAATAAGTCTTACGTGCTTCTTTAGAATGTCTGCCATTTCATTCCTACAACATTTTCTGTACTTTCAAATGATTAGCCCAATATAAAAAAGTGTCTCTTTTGTCCTCTTTTCTTGCTTATCCAAGCCTCGAGACTGTCCACCAGGCCACCACATATCTCAAATCTAGTTTCAGACTTTCAAATAAATATACAACACAATTTGGACCAAAATGGTGCAAGACTCCACCTATTCCTCAACCTAAATATCAACCTAAACCATGCTTGATCGGTCATGAAAAATGATATTTGACATTTTCAACCTCATGGCATCTTTCATGGAGAACATGAACAATGAGAGAAACTGAAGTCAGTAAGTCACAAACATGTTTGCAGTAATTCCATTATTAAGAATACTGCACACCGAATGACTGGACTTCTATTATATTTTCAAACAAATTGAAATTTTGAAATAAATAGATTTAAATATGAACTCTTCAAGATGGTTTAATACATAAACAGCTATGTTGAATGTTGGGACATTGTTAGACCTCCAATTGGAGAAAAGGCCTGGTTGCCTAAAAGTTGGTGGGAATTTAAGTGACTAGTTTAGTGCCACTTTCACCTACCTGAGGGCTTATGATACCATGCAATGTCAATATTTCTATTTCAGACCCAGAAGTTCAATAGACCTTTTAAAACGTTAATTCTTATTCCAATTATCAAATTCAATGCAATTTCTTACATTCATCACAGCCCTAATTGGTGTCCTGTGCATTGACGAATGTGCATTGACGAATGAATGAAAATTAATTCACACGTCACTATTCATTAGTGTTAGTATCCCATTATTTTATATGAATAAGAAAATGAAAAAAGAAGATTAGTAAATTGGTAGTCAAATAATAAACTTAGTGCTTTCAAGAAACAAACTCATCAGCAATTAATCATCAATGTGCAAGGACATGGCAGGCACAAGCCACTTAATGAATTTAATAACTTTAGACATTTCAATCAGCTGAGAAGTACTTTTCTTTTCAACCTCACACACATGCGTTAAAATAATTGAATACATGTAGCATGGACTTACTTTGTAACTTAGTTAGATGTAGAGAGAAGTGTGTATTTATAGTAAATGGAACAGTGTAATATTGCTCTGATCTATACAGAGCTGCCAATAATCATTCATCCTGTACTTTACATGATGTAACAGGTTAAGGCAAGGAAGAAGAAAAAACCCTGGGAATAGTGCAGAGAGGGGAGTGCATGTCATCATCTTCGTCAGCTTCTACGAATATTCATGCCTAGATGAATTTCCACCCATCTCTCTTTTCCTCTCTGGTTCTCTGTCCCTCCTCCCCTCCTCTCCCTCCCCCTCTCTCTCTCCCTCTGTCTCAGTGTGTGTGTGTCTCACAGACTCACACACCGCTCCTCTCTCCATCTCCTCCATGCCATCTCCTCTCATTTTGCATCCCTAGCCACATGAGTGGATGGACTAACGTTGTGTGTGCATGTAGAAGCCTGGGAATGGATGAGTGCTGTTATTGCAGATGCTCCATGAGCAGAAGCTTTCCTATCACTCAGCCAAGCGGCTTGCCTCTGATGATATCACGTATCACCACGGGAACCAGCAGTGACGTCAATTGGCCAAAAATAGCAGCGTCGATCAGGTTTCGGATCCCCGATTAATTTTAGAAATGGCAGAGCTAAATTTAAACACGCTGCCGTGGCTACGGTGTTTCCTTTGCGGCTTTTTATAGAACAGACGACAAAAATAGATTGAAAGGCAGGACAGAAATATCCTGTTGGCTTTGAGGGAGTAAAAAAGGAAAAGAATGATTTCAGGATGGTATGTGAAATGATTCAATTGAGCATGAAAAGGGAGGCAGACTAATGTGAATTCTTAAACTTCAATGTAAAAAAATGACTGCTGACTAAAAATGTCTTGGGTGGAAGTGTGAAAACAAAAAAGTACAGTACTTTCAGAATCTCTAGCAATTACCCATTGAACATTACTGGTAAATAATTACCTATGTTTATATGTTATACTGAGGAAAAATATAACATTTATTGTTGTATAAGTTATTTTATTGTATTGAATTGGTTTATTAAAACAAAAAAACATTGTATGCAGCTCAAGACTGTTTTGTAAAGTAATCAGATATTTACATCATAATACAAACATCAAAATTATATAAGATTTGTATTTGTAGGTCTTCATGTACTACGAGCTAACTATTATGTAAATGTGAGTGCTCTGACTGCTCTCATGGCTAAATTATGAACTGAAATCTTTAATATAGGATTTCAAACTAATAGGCTTTCTTGCAAATAATAATTATTTGTCTTCTCTTGATCTCTTCCCCCTTACTTGTGTACAAAAATTCCTTCCAGCAGTCACTACAGCACTGTTTGACAATGGATTATGTAATGTCAACTGTCAAAATACTGCACTTTACATATCTAGATGCATCCTATTCATCCTTATTCAACTCTAGAGCACCTAACGGCAGGTACTCATGCATGCAGCCCTTATGCACAATGCAGTGAGACTGTTCGGTTGTCAACACCATGGTTGGTTACAAGGAGATTCAAAGTCTTGCCATAAATGTCTGGTTCACTAGTTGGTTACACCCTTAAAAGCAAGCTTTCATGTGAATAAATTCTTCCTTTAGTTTTCCATAAGACCAGATAATATGAAACTGAGCATGGTTTTCAATACTAAGAGCTTAGCACTTATTATGCTTGCTACAGTAGATGTGGACTTGTTATTTTTTTTTTAAATGACAAAACCTGTCAAACTGACACTGTTGCTTACATTTATGTGATTGCCCGAATTTCCATGCATAATGCAATCGTAAAACTGACAGAAATACCTACTCTTCATTGTGAGATACAAATAAATGGAATATGTAAAACAATACATGAAATATTACTGTGCAAAAGTTGCAGTAAACGGCTACAGGGGAAATAACCCAATTGGTTAAGGGGTTTACATTGGGTTGATGTACAAGAAGTATTAACTGATGTACAAGAAGTATTAACTGATACAGTGTGTATATATATTCATAAGAAGTCTCTGATAAATGATAATTACTGATTATTTTATCTTGGCAAATGCACCCCTCTGAGAGAGTTCCCTCGTTAGCCAGACTTTGAATAAACTTGGAATCTAGAACATAACGTCAGCATTTATCCACCATGACGTTGGTTGCTGGCTAGTGAATATTTTTCCCTTAAAGAATGTAAATCATGTCTATGCATGTATCACCCTGCTTGATAATAAAAATGTTTCTTTTTCTTAACTGGGTGATAAACTGTAAAATGAACATGCTCAGATTGCCATGGAAACACAAAGAACAAGTACATTTTTAGAATCTTATTTCAGGCTCCCTAGAGATTGATGGAAAAATAGGAACAGGAAAGTAGGTTCTTGTTAATATTTGTGAATTATACTACTTCTCCTTATCCTTTATTAATTGATGTCAATTCCGAAAAAGATTGCATTACTTGAAAGCAATCTAAACATATTCTTAGATTTTATCTAAATCAACATTGGTAAAGTGATTGCAGAGTTTAAGTGTATATCTTAGAATATACTTATGAATGTTGGCATGATTTGATATTTAAAAAAAAAAAAAATCATTAGTAATATCTCCGGTAACATTGTGTATGTTCATGTATTGTATTCCTAACAAGCACAATGAGCTAAATATGAAACCTTGACTTGATTTTTACCTTCATTGTATAGATTATTAGTACACAAAGGGAAGTACTGGGAGAACATCTAATCTTAGAAAGTACAAACAATAACACATGTAGATATCCTATCATGTGCCATGCACATGTGCATTGAACATCCAATTCTAAATGTGTAGATATACATGTTTGTGATAAGCATTGTGCATAATAGAAGCACACACCATATTCTCCCCTCAGTCATTCAGAATGATCTCCAGTATAATTCCAGCATGCCAAGTAAAGTCTATTTTGGGCTTTATAATCATATACAGAGCTCAAGGGGGAAGGGGGAGAAAATATTCTCCACTCCTGGTAATACAACACTACTACATGTGTACGTGAACCAACGTCGTGAATAAGCTTTTTCATTTGGGCTCCCAGCCTTCTACTACGATGATCTATTTTTAGCCGCCACAATACGAAGCCTACGTCTGCATGAAAGGAAAGGTCCTGCTAAAAATAACCAAGGGGTAGTTGCTCACGCCATGATGTACACAACTGTTTACCGGCGGAAAAGAAGAAAAAAACTGACTGAAATGAGTTTATGCCTAACGGAATGCAGGACAACTTTGCGTCACTACACATGCATACATTTGAATGGGTCTCCTGGTTCTTCATCAAGGACTACAAGAATATAGAAATTTGATTTAAAAAGAAAGAAAGGCCATTGGCAGTTTGGCACGCAAAGGCTCAATATTTGTGCAGCTTGGAAGTAAATATAAAAAGTAATGAACAGAATATTTACGACGATGAATGGAAATGAAGGTGTTGTGTTCTATCAATAGACTTTCATGTAAGTGATTTGAGTCTTACAAGGATGCTTAGTTCACATGATGCTAAAAATGATCAAGGAACACCTATCTAGAAATGAGGACTACTACATGCATGCACGTGATTCTCAATAATCACTCAATAATCACTCAGTAAGCAGCACTTTTCATGTCCAAACAAAAGGACGTATGGATATTCAATATTTATGCATTCGTGCAATATTTTTAGCACTTCGG